CAGTTTCCACCTGTGTCCCCTTGTTCGCGTCCCACCAGTGTTGAATAGTTTATCCTTGTTTACCCGGTCGATTCCTCTGAGGATTTTGTAGGTTGTGATCGTGTGTGTGTATGTGTGTATGTGTGTGTGTGTGTGTGTGTGTGTGTGTGTGTGTGTGTGTGTGTGTGCGTGTGTGTGTGCGTGTGTGCGTGTGTGCGTGTGTGCGTGTGCGTGTGTGCGTGTGTGTGTGTGTGTGTGTGTGTGTGTGTGTGTGTGTGTGTGTGTGTGTGTGTGTGTGTGTGTGTGTGTGTGTGTGTGTGTGTGTGTGTGTGTGTGTGTGTGTGTGTGTGTGTGTGTGTGTGTGTGTGTGTGTGTCTGTGTGTGTGTGTCTGCGTCTGCGTACTCGCATAGTTATACTTTGATGCCGCCTCTCAACTGTCAATGAAACAGGTTACATATCGCGAGCCTATTGGCCTCTGTTATGTGTAATGTACAGACCACAATGGCAGAGTGCTTCCCCATCAACTTCCTGATGGACAACCTAGTCCTAGACGAACCTACTAATGGAACATAACTGTTAGCACATAATTATTGTGGGGTGACCTCAGCCAGTATTTCATACAGAGGGATAATGATGAACATTTGGCAGTATTGAACTATAACAATTTTACGAGCTTTCGTGGCTCGTCCCTCGATCCTGTCGTAACTGACCTTCCTCCTATCTTGAGGTTACCTTGAGGTTACCTTGAGGTGCTTCCGGGGCTTAGCGTCCCCGCGGCCCGGTCGTCGACCAGGCCTCCTGGTTGCCGGACTGATCAACCAGGTTGTTGGACGCGGCTGCTCGCAGCCTGACGTATGAGTCACAGCCTGGTTGATCAGGTAACCTAGCATAGTTCACTGTAGACTCCTGGGATATGTTGGTTCATCAGACCAACAGGTTGTCTTTACTACACTGGCAATCCTGACAGATTGAGAAGAATCAATTCGAACATCTTGGCTTTGGGACAAGGGAAACTGGCCAGCCCTCCGCTCAAGAGCTAGCAGCAATTAATTGGGATGCATCGCTCCAGGGGGAAAGTGAACAGCCAAGAAAATGTCTTCACCCGTCATTTATACTGGATCTCCAGCACAGACATATTCCTCACCGGTAGTATGTGACCAAATCTACTGATCAGTTTTGCTTTGGATATTGCTGCTGGATGGCAGTTGATGCCAAAAACATGGCCTGGTGGAGATTTAAACGACATCCCTCGGCTTATAACGGAAGAATTCATAGACGATCTTGTATAAGGAAAGAAGTTCAAAAGTGGGCTATATCCAGATGGGAATCAGAAACTCGAAGAAACCTTGCATCCGGAAAAGTTTAATCCAAAGATTGGTGTTCCAATGTTCCATTGATTGGTGTTCCGACCGGGGAGCCGGTCGGCCGAGCGGACAGCACGCTGGACTTTTGATCCTGTGGTCCTGGGTTCCATCCCAGGCGCTGGCTAGAAACAATGGGCAGAGTTTCTTTCACCCTATGCCCCTGTTACCTAGCAGTAAAATAGGTACCTGGGTGTTAGTCAGCTGTCACGGGCTGCTTCCTGGGGGTGGAGGCCTGGTCGAGGATCGGGCCGCGGGGACACTAAAGCCCCGAAATCATCTCAAGATAACCTCAAGATTCCCTGGTTTAAGACAGGCATTTATCTGAGGACACAATCCCAATCCCTAATATGGGAGGATGGACCTGTTGCAACAAGCACTCAGGAGAAGGTTGATCTACTGGCAAACCATTTTGCTGCCGAGATGCAAGTCCCAGATCCTGGACGTTATCCTCCACATCTTGTTCCAAGCACTGCGTCTAAGATGACTGAAGTGGTTATACACCAGGCCGAAGATCTCCATCTCCTTCAAACGCTTGACACAGTTAAGGCTAAGGGATAAAATAACGTCAGCCTAAGATTACTTCGCAGATGTGATGACCTGTTGGCCCCACCTCTCACATGCCTCTACCGACTCTGCCTACCTTGAGGTTACATTGAGGTGCTTCCGGGGCTTAGTGTCCCCGCGGCCCGGTCGTCGACCATGCCTCCTGGTTGCTGGACTGATCAACCAGGCTGTTAGACGCGGCTGCTAGCAGCCTGACGTATGAGTCACAGCCTGGTTGATCAGGTATCCTTTGGAGGTGCTTATCCAGTTCTCTCTTGAACACTGTGAGGGGTCGGCCAGTTATACCCCTTATATGTAGCTCAATTGTTATGTGTTAGCCCCTTATGCCTAGCTCAAAGAATTTGGCCCCTCCTTATAGAAGAAGGCAGATGTTGTTCCAGTACACAAAAAGGAGGAGTCGTTCAGTGATTGGTAACTACAGACCAGTGTCACTGCTCTCCATTACTGGTAAAATTCTCGGAACATTAATCTTTCAGTAAATTATATAATTTTTTGACCGTCATCGTCTATTATGTAATCGACAGTATGGTTTTAGAAAAAAATCATTCTGCTGCTGATCTCTTGCTAAATCTCTTCACTACGTGGCATCAGTCACTGGATGAGTCCAAGATAAGCAGTGTTGTTGCTCTAGACACAGCAGGAGCCTTTGAGCGGGGCTGGCACTCTGGATTACTAGTGAAGCTTCAAGCACCAGGCGTCTCAGGCTCCATCTTAAATAAATGACTACCTTCAAGAACGGACTCTAAGGGTAGTCCTCAATGGAGCAGAATCCGATAGCCACCCAATTGGTGCCAGCGTTCCACAGGGTAGTGTGCTTGGCCCTCTGCTGTGAAATATTTATTTCAACGATTTACTTCATCTCATTCCTGAAGCTCAAGCCTATGCTGATAACTGCACTTTATCCTTCACATGCAGAAAAGAAGAAATGCCAACTGCTGCAAGAATCATCAATCACCAACTTTCATCATTTTCTACCTGGGGGAGGAAATGGCAGGTCACATTTGTGGCTGAGAAAACACGAGCGATGATGATAACTAGACTGCACATGGTAAATTGGACAGGCTTGGTGGGAACCAGGTCTGGTGGGAACGGTCTAAACATCAGAGCCTGCAACACGGTCAGGACGTTGGTGGTCTTACTGTTATGTACAAGGCCAACATCCTCAAAGTTCCGCACCTGGCCCAACTCCGTGGAGTACCAGTAGTTGCCACCCGTAGCACTAAGCTCTCAATCTTCAACAGTCTCATACTGGAAGTGCCTTTGTCAAGAACATGACTCCATCAGCGATCATTCACTTCAAGGCTGACTCGCATCTGGAACTTGTTCGCTCAACAGGTTCATTCACTGGAGATCAGGTCAACTGATCACATGAAGGCTCTGGCACACAGTTGGCTGCAGGCTCATCCTGTTCCTTATATGATTGTTACCTAATGTTGTTAATGAATAAAAGCTATTCCTACTGATGCACATACCAGGCTCATGATATAAATGGGGGTCTAGGAGTAGGTTTCAACGTTCCTCATATGATAGTTTCAAAGTACATTCTCATGAAATAAATGAGTTTCTGAGTTTCTAGGGGCAGGCTTCAGATGAGCTGAGGTAGGATAACAGCTCTTGCTTGCAGTTTCACTAGGCACGTCATTTGACATCCCTTATTAACTCTAGTCTTAGTTAAAAAAAAGAGAGTAAGAGAGAGATACAAAATTCTATTCACAATATATTGTAATTTGTACATTGGTGACCATAACGTATGAAATTAGACGTATTAGTTGAGAGTCTTAGTGGCAGCATAGAACAAGTAATTATGAAATGAAAGCACCAAACCGGGGGAAGTATGTGGCTGCATAGAAAGGCCCGATCACATTTCGAATTCCACCAGGGAACGCACTTCCTGTGCCCTGAGAGGCAGAACGGGGAACAGAGTGGAGGGCAGGTAGGGTCCAATAAGCCGTCATGGAAAGTTAGGAGAGCTCGAGAGAGAGGCAGACCAGATAGGCCAGAAAGAGTAGTATGGCGGGTGAATAATTACAGTCAGCCATATCAAACCTTAGGTATCAAACCTTAGGAAAGGAGAGGGGAGGGTGGAAATTAAAGAATAATACAAGGATGGGGAGATGGTCACTGTTATGGAGGTCATGAATGACCCTCCAGGTGAGCTCTAAATAAATAAATAGAACAGAGAGAAAGATCATGACAGGAAATGGTGGGAGTGCGTGCATCAACATGGGTTGGCTCAACCCATGTTGACGCAATTCACAAGAGACGAAGAAGAGATGAGGAAAGGTTCCAAAAGGCGGCCACGGGTATTCGTCAAATCATCACTCTAGAGGGTATGCCGACAGTTAAAATCCCCCAAAATGAGTACAGGCTCTGGTAAGGAGTCCAGCACATGTTTAAGATCCGAAAGAGAAAGCGGAACATTTGGAGGAAGATAAATGGATACCATTTATTGTACTCATGGATGGTACACAAATAAACTGTGTACCATTTATGGACAAAGATACGCGCAGCAGAGGAATAAATGCGCGACTGAAAAAATAGGGTGACAATAGGAATATCATTAGGGATCATATGGGACAATGGGAATATCATAACATCAGTAAAGTTATGGCCCCCAGTAAAAGCTGGAGGGAAAGAGCAAATGAAATAACCATGGAAGCGACAAGGACGAGTGCCAACCACTGGCCCCTGGAGACACACACACACACACAGTGGTGAAAACTGAGGTATCAGAAAGTGGAGTTCATGACTGGTGTGGAGTTTTCATTCGCATATATGCTTGGGGATCATTCAAGCTTGTTTGCATATATACAAGCATATAAACAACATTTTTCAAATTTTTACTAGATGTAGATATATCTTGTACTTCTGAATTGAGAATCCAACTTGATTTTCCAATTTTACTATTCTGGAGTGATCTCAATAACGCAGCCCTTATTGTTGTTAGATATACGAGGTCAATGGCACAAAATTTAAGCATTTCATACACAAGTTAAATGATATACCTTTCTTTCCATTGTTCGAATAATTTGCATTTTCAAGGGTATATAAACGTTCCTCTTACAGGCTGGCAGCACACTCGACTCCTGAACAATGAAGATGATGGTGGCGGTGAAAACATTCCTGCTGCTGCTGCTGCTGCTCGTGGTATCGTCACAAGTTCAGGTTAGTACTCAAACTTCTTGATGTACCGGCAAACTTTAGGCTTCCGTCGACTAATACACAGACTTGTTGATGTATCACCGAACTTTATTAGGCTTCCGTCGGCTAATACACAGACTTGTTGATGTATCACCGAACTTTATTAGGCTTCGGTCGACTAATACACAGACTTGTTGATGTATCACCGAACTTTATTAGGCTTCCGTCGACTAATACACAGACTTGTTGATGTATCACCGAACTTTATTAGGCTTCCGTCGGCTAATACACAGACTTGTTGATGTATCACCAAACTTTATTAGGCTTCCGTCGGCTAATACACAGACTTGTTGATGTATCACCAAACTTTATTAGGCTTCCGTCGGCTAATACACAGACTTGTTGATGTATCACCAAACTTTATTGGGCTTCCGTCGGCTAATACACAACATTGTTGATGTACCACCAAACTTTATTAGGCTTCCGTCGGTTAGTACCTCTGTTATCTCACTTGAACTTTTTCCTTGGAAATAAAGGTACACACGTCTCGTAAATTACATTTCGTTAACCTCGTCATATTGTGTGCTATATAATCGAGTAAATCCTGAACTGGACAAAATTAGTCTAAAGACTTTTATAATCAAGTAGATATGTTTTCTTTTCTTTCAACTAATCCAAGTACAATGTAATGATACCATCTCTCAGCACTATGTGACCGAAGTAAGCAGTGAATTGGGAAAGCAATAATATCTCGTCATCACACGACTTGATAATAGTCCAGGAGCCATATTCACAAAGCAGTTACGCTAGTACTTACGAACGTGAACATCTTTCCTCAATCTTTGACGGCTTTGGTTACATTTATTAAACACTTTAGAAGCATGAAAACTTCCCAATCAACTGTTGTTATTGTTATAAACAGCCTCCTGGTGCTTCGGAGCTCATTAACTGTTTAATAATTGTAAACAAAGCCGCCAAAGATTGAGGAAAGATGTTCACGTTCGTAAGTACTTGCGTAACTGCTTCATGAATCTGGCCCCAGGACGGAACGAAACATCGTCGTTTCCTAATTTTATGATGTGTGATTTAGATATCAATACATTCTGAAATATATGAAATTAACATTTGTTTCCACTTTGACAATATCTATAGTCACTTTCTTTCCTTCAACACAAGTCATTTACACTTATCTTCATTAAGCTCCATTTGCAATTTTCTGTCCTAATCTGAGGTTTATTTCGGTCTTTCTGTACTATGGAAAGACCGGAATTTTCTTTGCACTTTGTCTTTGAAGATTTATATTATTGTTTACCCAACATAAAGATTATTAAAAATAACGAACCCAATAGAGAAAGAACTCTGTGGCACACCGCTTCTGATATTTCTATATCTGATTTTATTTCATTTGAGCTAACTGTCTATGTCTTGTCTTTCAACAAAGCACTAATCTAATTTAGTCTCTCTCCTCCAACACCAGGGGCTTCAATTTTCCACTGATATTGGTTAACATCTTTCTGATCAATCTCTAATGCGGAACAGTATCGTAAGTCTTACTTAAGATAGACAATATATCATAACTGCAAATCTTGTCGCCTGACCCAAATACATTTAAAGCGATATATATATATATATATATATATATATATATATATATATATATATATATATATATATGTATATATATATATGTATATATATATGTATATATATATGTATATATATATATATGTATATATATATGTATATATATATATGTATATATATATATATATATATATATATATATATATATATATATATATATATATATATATATATATATATATATATATAGTATTATTATTTTTGTCATTATTCTTTCATTATTTTTATGTTCACTATACTAGTTAATTTGTAATACAGTATAATTTTATTGGAGGTGTTGCGGTTTCTGTTCTTGGTTCAGGATTGTACCACCAGTCCAAGTGCCGTCTTATAGTAGTGTTTATCTCTTTGTTACTGTATCCATTGTTCACCAACAACTGTGTTATTCTTTCCAACTCCCTACTAACGTTCCTCCATTCAGAGCAGTGGGTAAGGGTTCGCCGAATATAAGCGTTGAGGACGCTAGCTTTGTATCTTCGGGAGCACTCACTCATTTAGGCGGGAGGCCTAAATTTAGGCTCACGCCTAAACAGAAGCTTCGGTTTCAGGCTCAACAAGCCATAATGTTGGACTGAGAACAAGAGATGTCTTTTTTTTTCACCAACAAGGTTATAAACCCATGGAACCGCCTATCCACCTAAGGCGTAAATGCCAAAACTTAAATTTTAAAATCCAACTGGAAAAAATCAGCAGGGCAAATCGGAGGACCTTCGACAAGTTGAGAGCTTCTATCCTCGTCGACGCCACTAGTGTTAGTGGCTCTCAGGTAAAGGCCAGTCACTGCAAAGTTTGGCGAGGAAATCCCCAAGTAGCTGACTCTAATTTCGAACACGGATAGAAACATTCTCTCTTATAGACATAGATCAGTTTAGGTGGATATAGAGCTGCCTCGTATGGCCAAGTGGGCCTTCTGCAGTTACCGCTATTCTTATGTTCATGCAGGGCGGCAAGAGGGACTGTGAGGCGGCTGGCGGGAGATGTGTTCCCGCCAAAACCTGTGACGTCACACCTTCTCAACATGGCTGCCGGGGGCAAGATGACGTCTGCTGCATCAACGCTCCATCACGCAGTGAGGCTTTAACGCTTTAACGTCCATTTCTGAGTTTCTTTTTGACAAATGTCCGAAGACTTTTACAACTTGTTTAAGACTGAGAAAATCAATATCTAGTTCAGGCACCGCTATGCTCGACTCGAGTCTGGTTGCAACAGAGGATATAAATTGAATAAATTTTAATTCAGGAAAACTTGGCTAAATACTGCTTTTGAAATAGGGTTGTTGATCAATGGAAAAAATTACCTGGTAAAATAAGACATGGGCTCACTTGACTATTTGGTGAGTAATTAGGCATTCAGTATATATGAAGGAGTTTGAGTGGATATAAGTAGCAGCTGCCTCGTATGGACCAACAGGTTTTCTGCACTTTCCTTTTCTTATGTTTACCCGTCTAAACACACTTTTTATACCTTCACATTCCTCAAATATTACAGAGAACAGTGAAGTAAAGAAACAAAGGAAGAGGAAGCAACTGAAGATAAATAAGAACAAGAGAATTAGCAAGAAAGCATACCAGCTGAAGGAGCCCAAAGATAAAGTGAGGAAGCTGAGAGCTGGTCGCCAGGACACCAGAGATGAAGGTGACGACAAATACGGAGGAGGAGGCAACACTTGCGAGGATACGGGCGGACAGTGTCACCCCAAGAAATACAAGTGTAAGAAGATTAAAGCCAAGGGATGCGCAAGAGGAGAAAAATGCTGTAAGTACTCGTGAGCGGGTGTGTGTGTGTGTGTGTGTGTGTGTGTGTGTGTGTGTGTGTGTGTGTGTGTGTGTGTGTGTGTGTGTGTGTGTGTGTGTGTGTGTGTGTGTGTATTCACCTAGTTGTGTTTGCGGGGGTTGAGCTCTGCTCTTTCGGCCCGCCTCTCAACTGTCAATCAACTGTTTCTACGACTATTTTTTTCACTCCCCCCCCCCCCACACACACCAAGAAGCAGCCCGTGACAGCTGACTAACTCCCAGGTACCTGTGTACTGCTAGGTAACAGGGGCATAGGGTGAAAGAAACTCTGCCCATCGTTTCTCGCCGGCGCCCGGGATCGAATCCGGGACCACAGGATCACGTGCCCAGCGTGCTGTCCGCTCGGCCGGCCGGCTCGCTCCGTGTGTGTGTGTGTGTGTGTGTGTGTGTGTGTGTGTGTGTGTGTGTGTGTGTGTGTGTGTGTGTGTGTGTGTGTGTGTGTGTGTGTGTGTGTGTGTGTATTAGACAATTAGCTACTGAAAAAGGTAGGGAAAAACGAAAATAATTAGTCAAAAAACAAATTAATGTTATAATCTAATAATGTATAAATTAATTCAAATATAGTTTTAATGTATATAAATATTTTGGTTACCATTCACAAACAGGAGTCCCTTTAGCTTGTGACTCCTGCTGAATACCAATACTAACAGCTGAAGCAGGAGTCCCGTTAGCTTGTGACTCCTGCTGAATACCAATACTAACAGCTGAAGCAGGAGTCCCGTTAGCTTGTGACTCCTGCTGAATACCAATACTAACAGCTGAAGCAGGAGTCCCGTTAGCTTGTGACTCCTGCTGAATACCAATACTAACAGCTGAAGCAGGAGTCCCGTTAGCTTGTGACTCCTGCTGAATACCAATACTAACAGCTGAAGCAGGAGTCCCGTTAGCTTGTGACTCCTGCTGAATACCAATACTAACAGCTGAAGCAGGAGTCCCGTTAGCTTGTGACTCCTGCTGAATACCAATACTAACAGCTGAAGCAGGAGTCCCGTTAGCTTGTGACTCCTGCTGAATACCAATACTAACAGCTGAAGCAGGAGTCCCGTTAGCTTGTGACTCCTGCTGAATACCAATACTAACAGCTGAAGCAGGAGTCCCGTTAGCTTGTGACTCCTGCTGAATACCAATACTAACAGCTGAAGCAGGAGTCCCGTTAGCTTGTGACTCCTGCTGAGTACCAATACTAACAGCTGAAGCAGGAGTCCCGTTAGCTTGTGACTCCTGCTGAGTACCAATACTAACAGCTGAAGCAGGAGTCCCGTTAGCTTGTGACTCCTGCTGAGTACCAATACTAACAGCTGAAGCAGGAGTCCCGTTAGCTTGTGACTCCTGCTGAGTACCAATACTAACAGCTGAAGCAGGAGTCCCGTTAGCTTGTGACTCCTGCTGAATACCAATACTAACAGCTGAAGCAGGAGTCCCGTTAGCTTGTGACTCCTGCTGAATACCAATACTAACAGCTAAAGCAGGAGTCCCGTTAGCTTGTGACTCCTGCTGAATACCAATACTAACAGCTGAAGCAGGAGTCCCGTTAGCTTGTGACTCCTGCTGAATACCAATACTAACAGCTAAAGCAGGAGTCCCTTTAGCAGAAAGGAACACAAGGTTGAGGTATCAGCTAACATGAACAACAACAGCTAACGCAGCAGCAAGGACATTTACATTCCATGTTGATGTCAATTAGGTTTTACAAACCAGAGTGTAAATTAGCAATAGAATTTTAGGATATGTTGCGAATTATGCACTGAAGGCACCAGTTTACTGTTGCATACTTTACTTGCAGGTAAAGGAACGCAAGGTGGGCCGGCACATCATGGTGGTATGGTCGGTCCCCGGGGTCCCCCAGGCATACCTGGAGTTGACGGACAACCAGGACAACCAGGTCCTCCAGGTCCTCCCGCAAAAGATGGAGCGCCTGGAAAAGATGGTGCTCCCGGTAAAGATGGTGTTCCCGGCATGACCGGTGCTACAGGCAAAGATGGGTCTCCTGGAGTGGCCGGTCCTCCAGGTAAGGATGGCGCTCCTGGAAAGGACGGTCCTCCAGGAATGGACGGTATGGCAGGCAAGGACGGTCATCCAGGCAATGACGGTACTAACGGCACAAACGGTGCACCCGGTAAGGACGGTCATCCAGGCATGCGTGGTCATGCAGGCCATGATGGTGCACCAGGTAAGGACGGTATTCCAGGCAGAAACGGTACAAACGGCAATGACGGTACACCAGGGAAGGACGGTACTCCCGGCAAGGACGGCGCTCCTGGACAAAAGGGAGAGCAAGGATATCCAGGTACCCCAGGTGCCGATGGTAAAAACGGTACTGATGGAACGCCAGGTCGTAATGGTGCTGATGGTTATCCAGGACCTCCAGGACCTCCAGGACCTAAAGGTTCAGTAGGACCTGCTGGGAGACCAGGATCTAAAGGACTACGAGGACCCTTGGGGCCTCGGGGGCCTCAAGGACCCAGAGGTCATGAAGGACCTGCAGGCGCAAATGGAACAAAAGGAGCTACTGGAGATATAGGACCAAAAGGAGCTTCTGGAGATCCAGGTCCACAGGGAGCTAAAGGAGATACAGGAAGTCAAGGTCCGCCAGGTGTTCCAGGCAAAGATGGAGTTAATGGTACTCAAGGTCCTGTAGGACCCAAGGGAGAGCCTGGAAACAATGGGTCAGCAAACAATGGAAATCACGGAGGCGCTGGATCAGGAAATCATGGACAAGAAGGAGGCGCTGGATTAGGAAATCATGGACAAGAAGGAGGCGCTGGATCAGGAAATCATGGACAAGAAGGAGGCGCTGGATTAGGAAATCATGGACAAGAAGGAGGCGCTGGATTAGGAAATCATGGACAAGGAGGCGCTGGATTAGGAAATCATGGACAAGAAGGAGGCGCTGGATTAGGAAATCATGGACAAGGAGGCGCTGGATTAGGAAATCATGGACAAGAAGGAGGCGCTGGATTAGGAATCATGGACAAGAAGGAGGCGCTGGATCACTAAAGAATGGACAAGAAGGAGGCGCTGGATCAGTAAACAATGGATAAACAATGGACACGAAGGAGGCGCTTTATCAGGAAACAATGACAACCAAGGAGGCGCTTTATCAAGAAACAATGGACACCAAGAAGGACCAGTAATAGTGTAAAGTTTGCCTATGAGGTGCCGTTTTGGTTTTCCCAACGGCACGTCGTTGGTGTACTTTTCCCTATGAACGTCAGCGATGGCGTCCTCTCACTAAAATATCCCGGGAAACGACTCGAGTGTTTAGCCCAAAAGTTAGTTCTAGTTATTTGTTTTCTCTCTCAATATTGTTCAATGACTATTCAAAGATTATAAGTATATTGTATTTCAAATATTGTAAATGATTTTAATAAAGATTGCATATTCATATGAAATACTTTTATTTTTATTCCAACCAAAGAATGTTTATTTATTCCCCCTTTTTAATTAATGCATACATGTTCCTATTTTCAAAGATTCTTCCCATTTACAAAGATACTTTACTGTTCTCATTATTAATTTTTTTCCATTTTGAATGATTGTTTATTCACATGAAATATTTGTGATGAACAAGGAGTTTATTTCTGCCAAATAGCGAGTTAAAGATTACTTATTGAACATAAAAATTAATGATAGCCAACTGCTCCATACTGCATCTATTATGTCCACCCTTACTCATTCATATGTGTTACCTGCAAGAATTAAAGAAAGCTGAAGAAGACCTATTAGCACACACACACTTAGCTACATATATTTATATTCACACACTAGTACACTTTAATTATGTCACCTATTTGAAACGTCAATAGGCCTATTGGTTTACACACATATATAAAGGAAAATACAGAAAGCCTATTAGCCCATACACAGCATCATCCCTATTTATATCCACCCAAATTATTGCATTAAGAATTCAGAAGTTCTATACATAAGAAACAAGTAACCGTGTAAATCTGTTATGTGTTGGTATATTTAATTCTTGATTTATATTCCTTTGTTATGCACATCATCATCCACTAGTACACTTCAATACTAAGAACATAAGAAGGATGAAAGTTTTTTTTTCAGTTATATTGAACAGTTGTAGAAGGCCTATAAGAACATAAGATTCAAAGAAACTGCATAAGGAATATTGGCCAAGACGTGGCAGCTCCTATTTATCCCCACCCAAACTCATTCATATATATGTCTAACCTCTACTTGAAACACTCAAGAGATCCTACATCTATTATGTTACCCAGTAAATGGATTCACAAGTAGAAAACCCTTTTACCAAACCAGGATTTACCCAGGTCTTTCTTAAATCTAAACTTATCCAACTTATATCCATGGTTTCGTGTTCTGTTATGTGTTGGTATATTTAATTCTTGATTTATATTCCTTTGTTATGCACATTCATCCACTAGTACACTTCAATACTAAGAACATAAGAAGGATGAAAGTTTTTTTTTCAGTTATATTGAACAAAGGTTAGGGAAAGGATTGGTCCATTAAAAACTGAGACAGGTCAGATAACTGATAATGACGAAGAGATGAGTAGTATTTTTAATAAATATTTTATCTCTGTATTCACTAAAGAACTGAACATTATGCCTTCACCCGAACAAGTCTCTGTGGGTGGGGAAGAGGACAGGTTGACTAGTATACCAGTTACCAGGAAGATGTTATTAAACAAATAGTGAAACTCAAGCCAAACAAATCCCCAGGGCCGGACAAAGGGTGCATAAGGGTGTTGGTGTTTACCGGGTGCATCAGGAATGCAAAGAGGAGCTTTGCGAGCCATTGTCTGCCATATTTAATAAATCATTAGAGTCAGGCAGAGAATCAAAGTCGTGGCAGGTTGCTAATGCGGTATTAATTTTGAAGAAAGGAGGTCTACTGTGGAAAAGTTACTTGAGTCGATAATTGCAAATACTATTCGTCTTCATCTTATAAAACATAAATAAATAAATGATTCACAACATGGTTTTACAAATGGCCGTTCATGTTTAACAAATCAAATGTTCAACAAATGTTTAGCATAGTTGAGGCAGTTGATAGTGGTATGGATTGAGATGTTGTGTACCTTGACTTTAGCAAAGCTTTTGATACAGTGCCACATGAAAGACTGATTAAAAAGATAGAGGCTCATGGTATTTGGGCGCTATATTAAGTTGGATTAGGGCATGGTGATACCAAAGGAAACAAAGAGTTAGTATCAATGGGGTTAAGTCAGAGTGGGAAAATGTTGTAAGTGGAGTGCCTCAAGACTCTGTCCTAGGACCTTTGTTATACATAATATATATATAAATGATTTAGATTCAGGTTTGAGCAGCAATATTTGCAAATTTGCCAATGATACAAAAATCGGGAGGGTAATAAACACTGAAAAAGACTAACTATCACTTCAAGACGATCCAAATAAGGTTTTGAAATGGTAAAAAGATTGGCAGATGCAGCTGAATAGTGACAAATTTAAGGTTTTGAGACTAGATAATGATGATAAGAGTAACAAGATATTTCAGGAGAGTGAATTTGTTAGGTTAGTAAGATTTTCATCATACGTATGTTTCGGTATTCTCTTTTGTTACTGCAAATGAAACACCTATGCCAAAATTACAGAGTTCTGTAATTCTTTTCACATAATTTGCATGTTGTGTATGGTCTTTTTCCTCCGATTCCACATTCCATATAACAACCCTGGAAACACAAACCGAAACTGTCTCTATTTTCCGCTTGTTACAACTTGTAATAAAGTTGTTATATCTTGTCTTAACGTGTTTATGACGTATTAGAACGCTGTTATAACTTGCTATATTGGTTGTTATAACTGGCTAGGAAGTGTTAAAACTTGTTCGAACGTTGTACCAAAGTCATAGTTTCGGTGTGTGTTTGGCTGGTTAAGGCATTTATTAACATTTAATTCTATTTTGCATTTGACGCTCCAAGCACTTATTTTATCTACATCAGTTTGAAGGGCGTTACAATCGTCTGCATCTCTTATCTTTCCCAGTATCTTAGCATCATCCGTAAACATGTTCAAATAATTCTATATTCCTTCTGGTAGATCGTTTATGTAGACGATGAACATTACTGGTGCAAGAACTGAACCCTGTGGTACTCCGCTAGTAACACTCCTCCAGTCAGATAAATTGTCTATGATTACTGCCCTCATCTATCTGTCAGTTAGAAAACGGTTTATCCATGTCAGAAGTCTCCTCGTCACCCCTCCAGCATGTTCCAGTTTCCAGAACAGCCTTTTGTGTGGGACTGAAAAGTTTTTATTTTTTTTTTAGCTTCAGATAGACACAGTCAACCCAACCACCTCTTTCTTGTAGTATCTCTGTGGTTCAATTATAAAAACTAAGTAGATTTGTTACACAGGATCTTCCAGTTCGAAAACCATACTGTCTGTCCGTTATTATGTCATTACTCTCCAGGGGTTCAACCCATTTGGCTTTAACTATTTTTTCTAGTGTTTTGACTACAATGCTAGTTAATGAATGATACGGGACAATAATTTGGAGGTTCTTCTCGACTACCATTTTTATAGATTGGTACTATGTTTACCTTTTTCCATATATCTTCTAAAATTCCTGTGCACAAGGATGATTGGAATATTAACCAGAGTGGAATGCTCAGCTCAGTTGCATATTATTGCAGAATCCAGTGTGAACTCAGCAGGTCCAACTGCTTTATTTCTTCCTAGCACCTTGAGTAATTTTCCATTTCGTCTTGATATACCTCTTATTCTATTCTATGACATGCTCTGGAATTGGGATTGGGTCCGGCTCTCTGAAATCCTCATTTTGCACAAACACACTTTGGAATTGTTCATTTAGCGTTTCACACATTTCTTTTTCATTTTCAGTAGCCTCTCTTTTACTTTCTGCCTCTCTCCTCACTGCTTTGTAATTGTTTTTTGCTTGCTTGTAGTGCTGGTATGTTTGTGGGTTAGACCACTTCCGATATTGAACCCATTTTCTTATCTTTTCCTCTCTGGCCCTCTCACAATTTCTATTGAACCAATCCTGTTTTCTAGTCCTGTATCTCTGTTTTGGTTAACGTTTGTGTGCCTTCATCGTATATTTCGCAAAATTTGGCACACACCTCATTTACTTCCTTGCCTAGCAACACTTGTTAAATTAAACTCATTAAAGAATTTTCAAAGTTCCCCATAATGTCCTCTCTTGAAATCTAGTTTATTAACTGTTTCAATGTGCCCATTCTCTTCTATATTATATCGCAAAGCATATTTAATTTCCATCAGGACATGATCACTCTTTCCCAAGCAAGGAAGGTACTGGATGATAAAATATCTCTTCTTCTTTCCTGGTGAATATTTGATTCAGTATTGACGGAACATCCCCTTTCCTCATTCTTGTGACCTGCTTCATGTGTTGATGTTGAATGTCTTCAGAATGACGTTTACAAATCTTCCTCTCTAAATGTAGAAGTGTGTGTGTATGTATTTAATATATGTATTTACTATTTGAATCTGCCGAATCAAGCTATTACCTCTTGGTAATAGCTATTACCACCATACAGAATATACAGAAGAAAATGTATATTTGCTGGTTAGCACTGTAAATGTGTGGCCATGTCTGTGGGAGGAAAAAAACAATTGTACAGAGCCATCAGTACAGCTCTGATGCAAGTCGTTACCCGTTTTAGCAGTCTGTCTTAGAATAATCTTAGCATAGTCTCAGCAGTCTCAATGATGCTTTTCGGTGTTAACTGTTTTAATAGCGTAGCGTATACACTATCTTTCTTGGGTGTATTTATGAAATCTATTGAGAGATCCCAGTTCTCACACGCATTAATTAATTGATCATTGAGTTTGATACATATTTTACATTTTGACAGAGTTGGCTAACTTATAAACGCAAAATGCTCAATCAAATGTTTTTCCTGTGGACCAAGGGTGAGTAAAACATTAGACAGTTCAGTTTGAAATTTTATATGATGTTAAGATTTGATCAAGGGACAACGTCTCTAGGTAATAGTAGGTAATTTGAACTTGCTCTCATTTTGACTATTCTCGTGTGTGAGTAACGTGGTTGTGAGGATAGGAGTTGGGGGCATTGGGAGGATAGAAGGTGGTGGGGTAAGGGTCGCTGCGTCGGTTGAGAGGAAGACGGGTCCCAAGTGGAGCTCTGTGACTTGTGTAGAGGAGAGCTTCAGACAGGGAGAAAACAATTGACATCTATAATGGGGATGTTGAGTGGGTGGAGCGGGCCATGCACCTGTGCATGTGTGTGTGTGTGTGTGTGTGTGTGTGTGTGTGTGTGTGTGTGTGTGTGTGTGTGTGTGTGTGTGTGTGTGTGTGTGTGTGTGTGTGTGTGTGTGTGTGTGTGTGTGTGTGTGTGTGTGTGTGTGTGTGTGTGTGTGTGTGTGTGTGTGTGTGTGTGTGTGTGTGTGTGTGCTCACCTATTTGTACTCACCTATTTGTGCTTGCGGGGGTTGAGCTTTGGCTCTTTGGTCCCGCCTCTCAACTGTCAATCAACTGGTGTACAGATTCCTGAGCCTACTGGGCTCGATCGTATCTACATTTAAAACTGTGTATGGTCTGTGTTATGTGTATGGTCTATGGTATGTGTGTGTGTGTGTGTGTGTACTCACCTAGTTGTGTCTGCAGGATCGAGCATTGATCGAGCATGTGTGTGTACTCACCTAGTTGTGTCTGCAGGATCGAGCATTGTGTGTGTGTGTGTGTGTGTGTGTGTGTGTGTGTGTGTGCTCACCTATTTGTACTCACCTATTTGTGCTTGCGGGGGTTGAGCTTTGGCTCTTTGGTCCCGCCTCTCAACTGTCAATCAACTGGTGTACAGATTCCTGAGCCTACTGGGCTCGATCGTATCTACATTTAAAACTGTGTATGGTCTGTGTTATGTGTATGGTCTATGGTATGTGTGTGTGTGTGTGTGTGTGTGTGTGTGTGTGTGTGTGTGTGTGTGTGTGTGTGTGTGTGTGTGTGTGTACGTGTGTGTGTGTGTACTCACCTAGTTGTGTCTGCAGGATCGAGCATTGATCGAGCATGTGTGTGTACTCACCTAGTTGTGTCTGCAGGATCGAGCATTGTGTGTGTGTGTGTGTGTGTGTGTGTGTGTGTGTGTGTGTGTGTGTGTGTGTGTGTGTGTGTGTGTGTGTGTGTGTGTGTGTGTGTGTGTGAGCAAGAATAATCACACGAAAATCCTTCAATTTTTTTTAACTAAGGCATAGATATATTTTGAATTTGCAAATGGTAAATCCAACTAGTTTTCCTAAAATAATTATTTAGTCGTAATCTCAATAACACAATCATTATTGTTTTCAGATCAACGAGGTCGATGGCACGAAATTTTAGCATTTCATAAATAAGATATATATAGATTTCCATTGTTCGAGTAATTTGAATTTTCAGGATGTTATATAAACGTTCCACCTTCAGGTTAACAACGCACTTGACTCCTGCACAATGAAGATGATGGCGGCGGTGACAGCATTCCTGCTGCTGCTGCTGCTGGTCGTGGTACCGTCACAAGTACAGGTTAGTACTTAAACTGTTGTTGCTGTACTAGCAAACTTTATTAGGCTTCGATCGGCTAATTCACAGACTTGTTGATGTACCGGCAAACCTTATTAGGCTTCGATCGGCTAATTCACAGACTTGTTGATGTACCGGCAAACCTTATTAGGCTTCGATCGGCTAATTCACAGACTTGTTGATGTACCGGCAAACTTTATTAGGCTTCAATCGGCTAATTCACAGACTTGTTGATGTACCGGCAAACTTTATTAGGCTTCAATCGGCTAATTCACAGACTTGTTGATGTACCGGCAAACTTTATTAGGCTTTGGTCGGTTAGTACCTCTGTTACTTCACTTTAACTGTTTCTTTGGAAATAAAGACACACGTCTCGTATTTACACCAGATGTTTTGACGTGTGGGCGTTTGGTTAAATAACCTCCAGCTTCAAACACGATTGTACGGTCTGTTCATGGTGTAGTTAGTGGTCACGGTATTGGATATGTTTGTGTGTTTGGAGCGCCAGACTATCTAAGGAACATTCTTGTGGGGTTCAGTCCCTGAGCCCATTATGTGCCTCTGTAACCCTTTCCACTACCGCCCACAAGATGGGTATGGGGTGCATAATAAATGAACTAAACTAAACTTTTTTATAGACATAGATTAGTTTAGGTGGATATAGAGCTGCCTCGTATGGCCAAGTGGGCCTTCTGCAGTTACCGCTATTCTTATGTTCATGCAGGGCGGCAAGAGGGACTGTGAGGCGGCTGGCGGGAGATGTGTTCCCGCCAAAACCTGTGACGTCACACCTTCTCAACATGGCTGCCGGGGGCAAGATGACGTCTGCTGCATTAACACTCCATCACGCAGTGAGGCTTTAACGCTTTATCGTCCATTTCTGAGTTTCTTTTTGACAAATGTCCGAAGACTTTTACAACTTGTTTAAGACTGAGAAAATCAATATCTAGTTCAGGCACCGCTATGCTCGACTCGAGTCTGGTTGCAACAGAGAATATAAATTGAATAAATTTTAATTCAGGAAAACTTGGCTAAATACTGCTTTTGAAATAGGGTTGTTGATCAATGGAAAAAATTACCTGGTAAAATAAGACATGGGCTCACTTGACTATTTGGTGAGTAATTAGGCATTCAGTATATATGAAGGAGTTTGAGTGGATATAAGTAGCAGCTGCCTCGTATGGACCAACAGGTTTTCTGCACTTTCCTTTTCTTATGTTTACCCGTCTAAACACACTTTTTATACCTTCACATTCCTCAAATATTACAGAGAACAGTGAAGTAAAGAAACAAAGGAAGAGGAAGCAACTGAAGATAAATAAGAAAAAGAGATTTAGCAAGAAAAGATACCAGCTGAAGGAGCCCAAAGATAAAGTGAGGAAGCTGAGAGTTGGTCGCCAGGACACCAGAGATGAAGGTGACGACAGAGGCGGATATGTAGGCAAGACTTGCAAGAAGACGGGCGGACAGTGTCACCCAAAGAAGTACAAGTGTAAGAAGATTAAAGCCAAGGGATGCGCAAGAGGAGAAAAATGCTGTGAGTACTAATAAGTGTGTGAGTGTACTCACCTAGTTGTGTTTGCGGGGGTTGAGCTCTGGCTCTTTGGTCCCGCCTCTCAATAGTCAATCTACTGGTGTACAGATTCCTGAGCTTCTTGAGCTCCATCATATCTACATCTGAAACTGTGTATGGAGTCAGCCTCCACCACATCACTTCCTATAGTACAGTCCATCTGTTAACTACTCTGACACTGAAAAAGTTCAATCTAATGAGTCTGTGGCTCATTTGGGTACTCAGCTTCCACCTGTGTCTCCTTGTGCATGTCCCACTCGTGTTAAATAATCCATCTTTGTCTACTTTGTAAATTCTTTGTGTGTATTCGCCTAGCTGTGTTTGCGGGGGCTGAGCTCTGCTCTTTCGGCCCGCCTCTCAACTGTCAGTCAACTGTTTCTAACTACTACTACTACTATTTTTTTCCACATCACACACACACACCCCAGGAAGCAGCCCGTGACAGCTGACTAACTCCCAGGTACCTATTTACTGCTAGGTAACAGGGGCATAGGGTGAAAGAAACTCTGCCCAATGTTTCTCGCCGGCGCCCGGGTCCGCTCGGCCGGCCGCCACCTCCCCACCCCCTCATGTGTGTATTCACCTAGTTGTTTGCGGGGTTTGAGCTTTGCTCTTTCGGCCCGCCTCTCAACTGTCAATCAACTGTTTACTAACTTCTTTTTTTTCCACACCACACACACACACACACACCTTAGGAAGCAGCCCGTGACAGCTGACTAACTCCCAGGTACCTATTTACTGCTAGGTAACAGGGGCATTCAGGGTGAAAGAAACTTTGGTCATTTGTTTCTGCCTCGTGCGGGAATCGAACCCGCGCCACAGAATTACGAGTACTGAGCGCTATCCACCGGGCTACGAGGCCCCCTGTGTGTGAGTACTCACCTAGTTGTGTTTGCGGGGGTTGAGCTCAGGCTCTTTGGTCCCGCCTCTCAACCGTCAATCAACAGGTGTACAGATTCCTGAGCCTATTGGGCTCTATCATATCTACACTTGAAACTGTGTATGGAGTCAGCCTCCACCACATCACTTCCTAATGCTTTCCATTTGTCAACCACTCTGACACTAAAAAAGTTCTTTCTAATATCTGTGGCTCATTTGGGCACTCAGTTTCCACCTGTGTCCCCTAGTGCGTGTGCCCCTTGTGTTAAATAACCTGTCTTTATCTACCCTATCAATTCCATTCAGAATCTTGAATGTGGTGATCATGTCCCCCTAACTCTTTTGTCTTCCAGCAAAGTTAGGTTTAATTCCCGCAGTCTTTCCTCGTAGCTCATACCTCTCAGCTCGGGTACTAGTCTGGTGGCAAACCTTTGAACCTTTTCCAGTTTAGTCTTATCCTTGACAAGATATGGACTCCAAGCTGGGGCTGCATACTCCAGGATTGGCCTGATATATGTGGTATACAAAGTTCTGAATGATTCTTTACACAAGTTTCTGAATGCCGTTCGTATGTTGGCCAGCTTGGCATATGCCGCTGATGTTATCCTCTTGATATGGGCTGCAGGAGACAGGTCTGGCGTGATATCAACCCCCAAGTCTTTTTCTTTCTCTGACTCCTGAAGAATTTCCTCTCCCAGATGATACCTTGTATCTGGCCTCCTGCCCCCTACACCTATCTTCATTACATTACATTTGGTTGGGTTAAACTCTAACAACCATTCCTTCAGCTTGTCTAGGTCTTCTTGAAGTCTCAAACAGTCCTCTTCTGTCTTAATCCTTCTCATAATTTTGGCATCGTCCGCAAACATTGAGAGGAATGAGTCTATACCCTCCGGGAGATCATTTACATATATCAGAAACAAGATAGGACCGAGTACAGAGCCCTGTGGGACTCCACTGGTGACTTCACGCCAATCGGAGGTCTCACCCCTCTCTGTAACTCTCTGCTTCCTATTGCTTAGGTATTCCCTTATCCACTGGAGCACCTTACCAGCTACACCTGCCTGTCTCTCCAGCTTATGTACCAGCCTCTTATGCGGTACTGTGTCAAAGGCTTTCCGACAATCCAAGAAAATGCAGTCCGCCCAGCCGTCTCTTTCTTGCTTAATCTTTGTCACCTGGTCGTAGAATTCTATCAAGTCAGTCAGGCAAGATTTACCCTCCCTGAACCCATGTTGGCGATTTGTCACAAAGTCCCTTCTCTCCAGATGTGATACTAGGTTTTTTCTCACAATCTTCTCCATCAGCTTGCATGGTATACAAGTCAAGGACACTGGCCTGTAGTTCAGTGCCTTCTGCCTGTCGCCCTTTTTGTATATTGGGACCACATTCGCCGTCTTCCATATTTCTGGTAGGTCTTCCGTCTACAGTGACCTACTATACACTATGGAGAGTGGCAAGCAAAGTGCCTCTACACACTCTTTCAGTACCCATGGCGAGATCCCGTCTGGACCAACAGCCATTCTAACATCCAGATACAGCAGGTGTCTCTTAACCTCCTCTCTCGTAATTTCGAACCCTTCCAAGGCCGCTTGGTTTACTTCTCTTTCTCCTAGCACAGTGACCTCACCTTGTTCTGTTGTGAAGACCTCCTGGAAACTCTTGTTGAGTTCTTCACACACCTCTTTGTCATTCTCTGTATACCTGACCTCGCCTGTTCTAAGTTTCACTACCTATTCTTTCACTGTTGTTTTCCTTCTGATGTGACTGTGGAGTAGCTTTGGTTCGGTCTTGGCTTTGTTTGCTTTATCATTTTCATAACTTTTCTCTGCTTCTCTTCTCACCCTGACATACTCATTCCTGGTTCTCTGGTATCTCTCTCTGCTTTCTGGTGTTCTGTTATTCCGGAAGTCCCTCCGCGCCCTTTTGTTCAGTTTCTTTGCTTCCATACATGCCCTATTATACCACGGATTCTTCTCTTGCTTCTCGGATTTTTCCTTTTGGGCCGGGATGTATCTGCTTATATATAGATGTATCTGCAAAAGTGCCTCCTGACACTTTTGGGTGACATAGTCCATCATATCTTGTACAGACTTAGCTCTGAGGTCTGTGTCCCAAGGTATTTCCCTTAGGAAGCTTCTCATCTCATAATTTCCCTTTCGGTATGCCAGCCTTTTGTTTCCTAGTTCTTTTTGGTGGGAGATAATTCCTACTTCTACCAGGTACTCAAAGTTCAATACACTGTGATCACTCATTCCCAAGGGTGCTTCCATCTTGACTTCCCTTATATCCCACTCATTTAGGGTAAATATCAGATCAAGCATTGCTGGTCCATCTTCTTCTTCTGTGTGTGTGTGTGTGTGTGTGTGTGTGTGTGTGTGTGTGTGTGTGTGTGTGTGTGTGTGTGTGTGTGTGTGTGTGTGTGTGTGTGTGTGTGTGTGTGTGTGAGTGAGTGTGTGTGTGTGTTGATGCCAATTAGGTTACACAAACCAGAGTGTAAATTAGCAATAGAATTTTAGGATATGTTGCGAATTATGCACTGAAGGCACCAGTTTACTGTTGCATACTTTACTTGCAGGTAAAGGAACGCAAGGTGGGCCGGCACATCATGGTGGTATGGTCGGTCCCCGGGGTCCCCCAGGCATACCTGGAGTTGACGGACAACCAGGACAACCAGGTCCTCCAGGTCCTCCCGCAAAAGATGGAGCGCCTGGAAAAGATGGTGCTCCCGGTAAAGATGGTGTTCCCGGCATGACCGGTGCTACAGGCAAAGATGGGTCTCCTGGAGTGGCCGGTCCTCCAGGTAAGGATGGTGCTCCTGGAAAGGACGGTCCTCCAGGAATGGACGGTATGGCAGGCAAGGACGGTCATCCAGGCAAGGACGGTACTAACGGCACAAACGGTGCACCCGGTAAGGACGGTCATCCAGGCATGCGCGGTCATCCAGGCCATGATGGTGCTCCAGGTAAGGACGGTATTCCAGGCAGAAACGGTACAAACGGCAATGACGGTACACCAGGGAAGGACGGTACTCCCGGCAAGGACGGCGCTCCTGGACAAAAGGGAGAGCAAGGATATCCAGGTACCCCAGGTGCCGATGGTAAAAACGGTACTGATGGAACGCCAGGTCGTAATGGTGCTGATGGTCATCCAGGACGTCCAGGACTTCCAGGACCTAAAGGTTCAGTAGGACCTGCTGGGAGACCAGGATCTAAAGGACTACCAGGACCCTTGGGGCCTCGGGGGCCTCAAGGACCCAGAGGTCATGTAGGACCTGCAGGAGCACATGGAACAAAAGGAGCTACTGGAAACAGAGGACCAAAAGGAGATCCAGGTCCACAGGGAGCTAAAGGAGATAGAGGAAGCCCTGGACCGCCAGGTGTTCCAGGCAAAAATGGAGTTAATGGTACTCAAGGTCCTGTAGGACCCAAGGGAGAGCCTGGAAACAATGGGTCAGCAAACAATGGACACAACGGAAACAATGGAACCAACGGAAACAATGGACACAACGGAAACAATGGACACAACGGAAACAATGGAAACAACGGAAACAATGGACACAACGGAAACAATGGACACAACGGAAACAATGGAAACAACGGAAACAATGCAAACAACGGAAACAATGGAAACAATGCAAACCAAGGAGGCGCTGGATTAGGAAACAATGGAGCTGACCTACCAAAAAAGGATGGAGCTGATCCACAAAAAAATGATGGAGCAGACCTACCAAAAAAGGATGAAGACACACAAAAAAAGGAAGGAGAAGATGCACAAAAAAAGGATGAAGACGCACAAAAAAAGGAAGGAGAAGACGCACAAAAAAAGGATGAAGACGCACAAAAAAAGGAAGGAGAAGATGCACAAAAAAAGGAAGGAGAAGACACACAAAAAAAGGAAGGAGAAGACGCACAAAAAAAGGATGAAGACGCACAAAAAAAGGAAGGAGAAGACGCACAAAAAAAGGATGAAGACGCACAAAAAAAGGAAGGAGAAGACGCACAAAAAAAGGATGAAGACGCACAAAAAAAGGAAGGAGAAGACGCACAAAAAAAGGAAGAAGACGCACAAAAAAAGGAAGAAGACGCACAAAAAAAGGAAGAAGACGCACAAAGAAAGGAAGAAGACGCACAAAAAAAGGATGAAATAGGCGCAATAGAAAAGGTTGGAGAAGACGCACAAAAAAAGGAAGAAGACGCACAAAAAAAGGAAGAAGACGCACAAAAAAAGGAAGAAGACGCACAAAAAAAGGAAGAAGACGCACAAAAAAAGGATGAAATAGGCGCAATAGAAAAGGTTGGAGAAGACGCACAAAAAAAGGAAGAAGACGCACAAAAAAAGGAAGAAGACGCACAAAAAAAGGAAGAAGACGCACAAAAAAAGGATGAAATAGGCGCAATAGAAAAGGTTGGAGAAGACGCACAAAAAAAGGATGAAATAGGCGCAATAGAAACTGGAGCAGACCCACTACAAGAGAAAGGAGAAGACCCACCAAAAAAGGATGAAGCAGGCCAATTACAAATACAATGAAGCAGACCCATCAAAAAAGGATGAAGCAGGCCAATTACAAATACAATGAAGCAGACCCACCAAAAAAGGATGAAGCAGGCCAATTACAAATACAATGAAGCAGACCCACCAAAAAAGGATGAAGCAGGCCAATTACAAATACAATGAAGCAGACCCACCAAAATACAATGAAGCAGTCCCAACCCCAGCTCCCGCTTGGTTCCCGTTATAAGTTGCCTACTGGGAGCCGGTGGCTGAGCGGACAGCACGCTATTCGCGTGATCCTGTGGTCCCGGGTTCGATTCCGGGCGCCTGCAAGAAATAATTGACAGTTTCTTTAACCCTGATGCCCCTGTAACCTAGCAGAAAATAGGTACCTGGGAGTTAGTCAGCTGTCACGAGCTGCTTCCTGGGGTGTGTGTGTGTGTGTGGTGTGGGGAATAATAAAAAAAAATGTTATTAGGTAGTAACAGTTGATTGACATTTGAGAGGTGGGCAGAGAGGGCAGAGCTCAATCCCCGCAAGCACAACTAGGTAAATACCAGAAAACAATGAAGCAAACAGTGTAGTAAACAATAGAGGAAACAGTGCAGCAATTAGTTGAGGAAAGTGTGGACGAGAAACAGGCAAAGGATGAAACGGTGAAGGAGGAAACAGTGGAGAAGCAGGTGGAGAAGTAGGAGGAAGAGGAGGAGGGGGAGCAGGTGGAGATGGAAGAGGAAACAGTGTTGGAGGACGAGAGTAGTGTAAAATTTGCCAATGAGGTTATCTTGAGATGATTTCGGGGCTTTAGTGTCCCCGCGGCCCGGTCCTCGACCAGGCCTCCACCCCCAGGAAGCAGCCCGTGACAGCTGACTAACACCCAGGTACCTGTTTTACTGCTAGGTAACAGGGGCATAGGGTGAAAGAAACTCTGCCCATTGTTTCTCGCCGGCGCCCGGGATCGAACCCGGGACCACAGGATCACATGTCCAGCGTGCTGTCCGCTCGGCCGACCGGCTCCCTAAGGTGCCGTTTTGGTTTTCCAAGACGTCAACACTCGAGTGTTTAGCCCAAACGTTAGTTCTAGTTATTTTTTCTCTCTCTCAATATTGTTCAATGACTATTCAAAGATTACAAGTATATTGTATCTCAAAGATTGTAAAGGATTTTAATAAAGATTGCATATTCATATGATTTTTTTTTATTCCAACCAAAGAATGTTTATTTATTTCCCCTTTTCAATTAATGCATACTTGTTCTCATTTTCAAAGGTTCTTCCCATTTACAAAGATACTTTACTTTTCCCATTATTAAAGATTGTTTCCATTTTGAATGATTGTTTATTCATATGAAATATTTTTGATAACCAAAGCGTTTATTTCTGGCAAATAGCTAGTTAGAGAGTACTTACCGAACATAAGAATTAATGAAGACCTGAAGTTGCATACAACCGCACCAAGACCAGTTTTTTTTTTATTATTATTATTTTCTACCACAGATGTGGCCAGACATTTACAATGCTAACCAGCATATATACATTTTCTTCTGTCCTCCATGTACAGGGTTAGAGAAGTGTTAAACATATAGTTCAAGGGTTTATTGAACACTTAACCACAGAAGGTGATTCGGTGCTTTTAAAATGCTAAGCTAACCTGGAGGACCACACTGCAAGAGGTCACTTTTGCAGGTCACAACCACCGAACAAACAAATACACCCCCTAGGCGTGAGCAGGACACCTAGGTCCAGGTATTCCAGGTGGGGATGAAGGTCAGCACAGCCTTCTGCTGCCACAAGCAATATCCGCACCCTTCAATACATAAGTCGTTCGTGCTACAACTTGCTTGCAAGCAAATATAGCAGGTAATGGATGGGTCCATTATAACATATAATGAATCCATCTGATAACACCGAATCTATATTCAGTGTTGCGACACTCAAAGGTTAACTGTCACTCCTACCAGAGTTGACAGTTTAACACTTCACAGTCTCACTAAATCCAAACACACACAAAAAACTTGTTGCGAGATATACTCTGATTGATCCGGGATTGGGTAATTACTGATCAAAATGTAATATGTACACGTCAACAATTAGTTAACCCGGGTTTTGTACTTACATTCAAAAACACCATTCATACTCCCTCGACGATGATTAAGGCGCCTTCGTACGATTGTCGATCTTCTTATGCGAGGGAGCTAAACATTGAATCCACAATGTTGAATCAAGCTCATACCTCCATCTTTCCCGACGACAAAGTAAATCCAGGAGTAATTTGGTTGTACCACGCGAGCTGGCCAATCACCTTGACACGACCATCAATAGCCCTAGCGTAATCACAACCCCACACTGAACAGTCTATAAGAATGCTGGGGACAATACCCCACTTCCTGAGAAAAGAAGCAGCACACTTTCCCCACACTTTTCCACTTTTCCGCGCGACTGTAGAACGCATGAACACATGCACGTACAGGCGAGCGGTTATCTCCTCTTCTCGACCCCGATAGCACGACCTCCACGAGTTCTCCTACCGTCAAAATCTTTCACACTACTTCTTTGGATTTTTCACAGTTGACTGTCACTAATGATGCTTCACTGCTGTACTGACAATCACTCCCTCTAAGAGTCCTACGTGACACTGAGTCTTACCAATGTGATTTAAGATATGATACTAACACGAGGAACTGGCTCTTCTTATGCCGGTTAAACTGAGATTTCACCTCTATCTCTCCTTTCTATGAAATCACATCTCTCTCTTTCACAGGTATTTCACACTGCTATTTTTGTTCTAATGAACACCAGATACCTGTACTACCCATTGATTCGGATATTGAATAGTACTAGTGTTTAGGTAAACTGTTATTCTGAGGACTTAGGACAAAGAGGCCATGCCTTGGAGCTCATTAGGCTATCCTCCTCCAGGAGAGTCTTCGACCGAATGAAGCCCTGGGGTACTTTACGTGCCCTCCAGGATTCTTTGACGTCATCACCTGTCGACCAATCACATGCATAGGCCTGTTCCATTATGGTTAGTTCCACAGCGTCTCACCAGGAGAGAGACTGTCTCTGGAGGGGAATGAGGGGGTTCTGTGATCACCAAACCAATGGTCCTTGTGAGGGGAGGCCTCTACTGACCCTCCCACTACACTCTGTAGCAACATTCTCCCCCCCACCCTTGCTGGGTATCCCCATGGTACTGGTACCCCAGGCCTGGTCTTGAAGCTGTTGCGACTCTATTGCAACAGATCCAGATGACCCAGGTCAAAACCGATAATCTCTCTGGACTACTCATATCAAAACGAATCCATAGATACCTAACCTGATACACTTTGGATATTAAATAAGAAAGTTGTATGTTGACCAAACCACACACTAGAAATTGAGGAGACGACGACGTTTCGGTCCATCCTGATAACAGGACCATTAACACAATCGACTTGATAATGGTCTAGGACGGATCGATACGTCGTCGTCTCTTCGATTTCTAGTATGGGTGGTTTGGTCAACATTTTTTAGCCACGTTATTGTGACTCATTATCTGCAACAAAGTTGGACCTTGCAAGCACTAATCCAAGCAATAAATGTGTGCGTTGAGAGATCTATCTCTCACAATCAGCAAGAGCCACACATTTCAGACTACAGTCCCTCTATACTGCAACGGTTCTCCGCCTTTGCTGCCTCAATGGACACCAAATACAGGTATATTTGCTGTATGGAAGAGTCTGAGAGGTATTGTCAATATTGCTTGCTTTGCCACAGCATAGAGGACTCGAACTCGAGGCACAGCGAAGTTAATGAAATTAGGAAGAGCTTACTACAGATGGGTATCCAGCAGCGAGCTCTGTTTTCTAGTGTCCTGCAACTCTGTTGGTCTCTTTAAACGGAATTGGAGTGCACTCAGCAGATAGTTGGTGTCGGACTACATGTGGAAATTGGCCTTGGCTGACACCAACAGTGACTTCAGTATTGGGCATCCAGGTGGTGTGGCCACCCATTAGAGAATCAACCAAGTCTTGTAAGTACAGAGATCTGGATCACCAGCAAAATATTGTCTCATTGGAGACTCTTCGTGACTGGGATCAAAGTGCCAAGAGTTTTCTGACAGTTCTAGACTCATCGAAACAATAAGAACCCACGCAGCTTCAACATACCTTTCCCAGCGCCTCGGTGTTGCAAAACAGGGGAAAAATTCAGATTAAAGTTTTGGTTGCTGCCCATCATCCGAGCAGTTTGATGAACTTATAGCAAGTGAAAATTAATTTTGTACCTTCAATGCAACCAATCTTGTTTAATATAGATTAATAAAGCGAGGTTTGGTAAGATAAGACATTATGTAACGCAGGTGGGAGTCCCAAATGGCTACCCAAGGTGTATATTCGTTTTTCCGAGGCAAAGGGTCCCCACAAACATAATCAGAAGTGGTATAAATAAAGGTCTAAGTTAGAAATTCACGTTCTCAATATAATTTGTTAATATCATTGAAAATGAACAAATTTCGAAAGAAATATTGGCAGATTAGCTATTTATATCTGGTGCCAAAAATACAGCTCTTATTTTCGTTTGAACTGAAATGTCGTGACAGAACGTTATGTATTTTACATCAAGATAAAGCTGCTTTCCATGTTCGGCTAATCGAACACTTGTGCGAGCTATTTGTGTGTACCAGAAGTATATAAACGCAATATTTACCGTTCAGCCGTACACTTGACTACAGAACCATGAAAGATGGCGGTGAGGGCGAGCCTATTGCTGCTGCCGCTGCTGGCGGTGCTATCGTCACATGTACAGGTTAGTGCTCAGACTTGTTCAAGTGCCACCAAACGTTATTAGGCTTTGGTCGGTTAGTTCACAGACTTGTTGATGTACCAGTAAGTGTTATGAGGCTTCGGTTGGTTAATATACTTGTTACCTCGATGTAAACTATATCCCGGGGAATAAAGACACGTCTCGTAATTTAGTCGTTACATTTCGTTATCTGAACCATCTTGTATTCACCAGCTAAATAATTATGTCTTACACTGGATCGAATTAGCTAAAAGATTAATCAAATTAAGTGGATATATATTTTATTCGACTTCAAATTATCCAAGACAAATATACAGTTTTAATTTACTAATGATCGCTGTTGGCTGTGAATTGAATTGTCAAGCATACATTCTGAATTATATGGCTTTATCTGAAAGCAAATCAAATAATATTATTTCCCCTTCGGTTTTGTATTTCTATTTGCTCTCTATTACACACAAAAGATTCAGCCCATCCTGTTTTGGTAGTACTTATAGTAATGATGAGGACCATAGTAATATAGAGACGTACAACACAATTAGAACGAATAAATCGGTACTATTGAATTTGGACAAACCGGAAAAGATTTTCTATGTTGCAAAGACAAACTAATCTAATCTAATCTAACCTTCCTAGACCTAATATACGATATCTGAGGCCTAATATAGTACATATGCTATAATATGCCTAGGAATATTTAGCTTTGTTTTTTAGCTTCATTTTTTGGACTATGAATTGAACAGTACAAAGTTCTACTAATTGCTTAGTACGTCAATGTTTGTACTATAGGGCACATAGTTACAAAATGTACCTTCTACACAGGAGGGTTGAAATATCCAGAAAACTCTCGTATAGTCACTTTATAAGATGGAGACCAGTTGAGGGCTAAACAGAGCAATAAGGCCTGACAAGATTGCAGAAGCAAAAACTTGACAAAAAACAATGCCTAGTCTACATAGGGCTTAGTAAACATAATTCACACAGAACTTGCCATTTAAGTTGGAAAAGCCGATTGAAGGGAAGTCAGGGAGAGTCCCCTCATGTATGGCATTAAGCAGACAGTTCATTGAAGAAGAGTGAAAATACATCACCGATGTACTTCTTCAATGACAACATTGTGTTACGTTCAAAGTGGTTGGTGGTGGTTACAAACGCCCTCCTCGTCTCCACCCTCCCAGCACATATATGCCCTTCTCATTTCCTTTATTGTACACACACGCACCCTCCCCCTCCCCCCATCACTGTAACCATTTTTCATACACACCATACTTATCATTGTAAAAAGGTTGCACTCAGAATGCAAATCAGAACATAGGATTTTAAAGTCAATATCTGATTTTTTTTATTGATACATGAGGTACATCTGCATTAGTGCAGCTACCCTAGATTATATGAAGTGGCGTACAGTGTGTCAAAAAAGCTAACTAGGTGATGCTAAAAATTCCCCATCACACAGGATGGTTAATCATACAGAGGCATGTGATAGGCAGTCTGCGCTGGCAGACTCCGGATGCATTTTGAGGATATCATCAACACAAGAGTGAATATATGGTAGCAGTGGTAATAAAAGTCCCCATCTCGCAGGATGGTTAGTCATACAGGGCCATATATTTAGTAGCCTGCACTGGCAAATTTTGGGTACACTGTGAGGATATCTACAAGAATACGAGAGTGAATAGAGTAATTGCAAAGCTCCAGGTACCTCATGCCAACTGGTCTGAAATGTCTAATAACTGGGCATTCAGTGATGTAGTGTGGGAGATCATGCCGCAGTTCCTACTCACAGAATTTGCACCTGGAGTGCTCAGGATTGGGAGATCCGTCACCTGCAGCCACCTACCACAGGTAACGGTAACCCAACCTGATCCTTGCAACCACTGTGTCGCACAGTCTGGTGGACGTTTTGTGCTCCCCATAGATATAGGTTGACAAATATTTAATGCTAAAATCTATGGAGTTAATGCAAAATATTTCACTACAGTTTTCATGAAGGAGGGGCATTGGAGCCGTGCCCACTTTAGGGGGGGGGGCACTGGGCCAACCCTGAGACTCCCAATAAAATCCCAATTAATCCTACAAAGTCTAATGAGGCTAGCCACCAAAAACCTGGCCTCCAGGAACATTGTTGCCTGTTCCAGTCACTCACTGCTAACATTAAAACAGTCCTATGCTACGTGAACACTGATGTGTGAAAGCCATAATTCTTTTCCGAGATTGACACATCCAAGAAACCTGCTTTCACTCACATTCTTATAAGTAAAACTAAGCATAGTGATATACTCTGAAGCTACTTTAAGCAGTAGCAAACATTCAGTGACAGGTTCTAGCAAACAATTCCCTCAACACTCTTACAGTAGACGTCAGGTTCTATGTTCAGATCAATTAACATATTCTGCTTGTGCTACCCATGGAAAGATAATATAAACAAATATGTAATTTTGTATAATTAGAAGTTCTTTTTTTAGTAAATAATTGTATGTGCAGGGCGTCAAGAGTGACTGCAAGGCGGCTGGCGGGAGATGTGTTCCCGCCAAAACCTGTGACGTCACACCTTCTCAACATGGCTGCGAGGAGAAAAATGCAGTCTGCTGCATCAACACTTTAACACGCGGTGAGGATATATTCCAAGACTTATATTTTGTTGTAATGATGAGGCACAATAGATTAAATCAAGCCACAACTCAGTAAATCTTCCAGAGATTGTTACTTTTGGAGTTAAAAGATAGAGTAATCTATCTGTCAATTCTACAGTAATATATTTTACTATGTAAGATATCTATAAAGATGTATTACCATATATCCATAGTAAGATATAATAGTGATATATCCAGTAAGTATAAAAGTAGTATAGTAATAAAGAAGTATAGTAGTTAAAGTAGTATAACTATATTACTATACTACTTTACAGTATTACTATACTACTTTAAAGAAGTATAGTAATAATTACAAATTCTCTTGCTGTAGTATTTCATTTTAATTAACAAAACTACCTCGTCCCCACACTTCAAATTCACATCAATAATTTATACAAGTCGCTTCAGTGACTTGTATAAATTATTAATAAATAAGAGGGTCTTTTAATAATGCCTCTCACATGTTTAAAAGCTGCTGTAAACAATGTTCTAAACAAGATTCAAAGAGATTGCGTTTACAGTATATGTCTGGCAGACGTGGCTCACGTGGAGTCCATCATTGATCATCATCATAACGACGTCTAATGATGAATGCAATGTGAGGCGCTCTGCCACACATATACACGCAAGCTTGAGACTTGCCTTCATTTGCGGGCTCACTATAGCCGGTGCTACTTGGAACATTTTGTTCTGAGTAGCTGAATCTAAAACAACAACAACTTGCCTTCACCTTTCGACGTGATAATCCTGAGCTCACTTTGCCACCTGTTTATACAAATCTTCTTTTGCTTGTTTTACATTCCTCAAAAATATACAGAGAATAGAGAAGCAAAGAAATATAGAAAGAGAGAGCAACTCAAGACAAATAGGAGGAAGAGAATCAGCAAGAAAGAATACAAGCTGAAGGACTCCCAAGTGAAAGTGAGGAAGCTGAGAGCTGATAATCCTGACACCAGAGATGAAGGTGACGACAGAGACGGATATGGAGGAGGAGGCAACGCTTGCAAGGAGATGGGCGGACAGTGTCACCCCAAGAAATACAAGTGTAAGAAGAGTAAAGCCAAGGGATGCGCAAGAGGAGAAAAATGCTGTAAGTAACTCCTAAGTGTGTGTGTTTGTGTGTACTCACCTATTTGTGCCTCCAGGATCGAGCATTGACTCTTGGGTCTCGCCTTTCTAGCCATCGGTTGTGTATAGCAATGACTCCTGTCCTATTTCCCTATCATATTTAACTTTAAAATTATGAATAGTGTTTGCTTCCACAGGCTGCTGCTTAAGTTCATTCCATTTTCCCATTACTCTCACATTAAAAGAAAACTTCTTAACATCTCTGTGACTTATCTGGATTTTAAACTTCCACCCATGTTCCCTTGTTATGTTAGTATTCAGTGTGAACATTTCGTCTACTTCCACTCTGTCAATCCCCCTAAGTATTTTATATGTTTCTATCATATCTCCCACTTCCCTCCTTTTTTCTAGTGTCGTCAGGTTCAGTTCCTTCAGTCGCTCTTCAAACACCATCCCGGACAAGGCTCGTCCGTTAGTGAGACAGGAACGTCTTGTAAACCCGCGTTTCGAGTTTTATTAACCTGTATTTTTCTAGACGATTTCTGTTATTGTGTAATTCTTGGTTCCAGTACCTCCGGTGTTGACTAAAGTTTCAAAGTTATGCTTTGTTTATTATATGCTCATTTCTATCTAGTAGGTGACACGTGATTGTTTTCAGGTGTCCTGACCTTTCCACGTCTTCGTTTTAAATAGCTGAACAAAATACTTTAGGTTTCAACTTTGCATTTTTGATTGTCAAAACTTTGATTTTGCTTTTCATATTTATTGCTTGACCGCCTATGTATCTACTAAGATTACCTTTTTTCATTAGATGTTAAATTTTGTTTATCATTCATTTTAGGTCGCTATTATTTTTATCTAATTTAACTGCTCGGGAAATTATTTCCCCGACTCATGTTAACTTCCATGTCCGAGCGTAAGCAAGTGGCTTGATTGTGTTCCTGTTTTAACCTTTCGTGCTAACACAGGTAAACTTTTTATGAGATCAGAAAATCTTTAATAAGTTCTACAAACGGAAGCATAACATTGATATTCAACAGTAAGATACATCTCTAAGGTCGTCTTTTGTATGAGTGGATTATGAGAAAATGTGGCCCGTGAGGTTATGATAATAGGTCTCACAACAGACCACATTATTGATGATAGCAATTACAACATATCCTTAATGATATCAGTTAGATCTCACAATACAACTTCATACTGATATCAGATACAACACCATATTGATGTCAGCTTGGTCTCACAGCACACCTTCATACAGTCAGATAAGTCTCACAACATACATTTCCACATGTAAAAATAAAGCACCATTAATAACACATTACCGTGTATATCTTTAATAATACAATCGTTTTATGACATTTACGAACTATGCATTGAAGGCGCCAGTTTACTGTTTCAAATTTTACTTGCAGGTGAAGGAACGTATCATGGGTCGGATGGACAGCCGGGTCCTCCTGGTCCCCCAGGTCCCCCAGGTCTCCCAGGCAAACCTGGAGTTCATGGACAATCTGGTAAGCCAGGTCCTGCAGGTCCTGCCGGTCCTAAGGGTTCTTCAGGTCCTCTAGGTCCTCCAGGTCCTCCCGCAAAAGATGGAGTGCCTGGTAAAGACGGTACTCCAGGTACAAAGGGTGATCCAGGCATGGCCGGTGCTCCAGGCAAAGATGGCTCTCCTGGAGTGGCCGGTCCTCCAGGCAAGGATGGCGCTCCTGGTATGGTCGGTCCTAAAGGACTGGACGGTATGCCAGGCAAGGACGGCCTTCCTGGCAAGGATGGTACAAACGGCTTAAATGGTGCACCCGGTAAGGACGGTAAAGACGGTGCTCCGGGCATGACCGGTGCTCCAGGCAAGGACGGGTCTCCAGGCACCAACGGTATTCCAGGCACCAACGGTACTAACGGAAGAGATGGTACTCCTGGGAAAGACGGAGCTCCTGGTAAGGATGGTGCTCCTGGACACACGGGACCTAGAGGACATACAGGTCCTCAAGGTCCTCAAGGCCCTCCAGGCGCAAAGGGTTCTGACGGAACCCCAGGTCATAATGGTTCTGATGGTCAACAAGGGCTTCAAGGCCCTCCAGGCCCTGAAGGTTCAAAAGGATCTGTTGGACCAGAAGGACCTTCAGGACCCCAAGGGCCACAGGGACCTGAAGGACCCCAAGGTCCTGAAGGACTTCCAGGAAAACATGGGAAAAAAGGAGCTACTGGACCAAAAGGGTCAGAAGGAGCTACTGGTGCTCAAGGGCCAGAAGGATCTACTGGACCTCAAGGACCAAAAGGAGATAAAGGTGACAAAGGAGATCAAGGACTACAAGGATTTAATGGTTCTCAAGGTCCTCCAGGACCTGAAGGCGCTACTGGTGCTACGGGACCTAAAGGAGACGAAGGAGCAACTGGTCCTCCAGGTAAAAATGAAGATAAAGGAGAAAAGGTTGGAAAATAATACCTGTAAACTATAGAAATTTTCCTTCTCACTCAGCAAATCAAAATCGTATAACTAAAGTGATTGAACTGTAGGTATTTGGATCAACACCCACAGTCAAGTCTACTATAAAAGGTACATGGACCAACGATAACATTCAGTAAATCATATGAGGAAGACGCTGCTCACCATGCTTAAGCTACAGAATTTGCTGAGATAATAACTTTTAAAATAGCACCAAAATAATCCTGATACATGTTGACATTATATGACAAATACAACGAGCACTTTAGATCTTATTATTGGTAACTAATCAGCCTCACGTTTTGTATGTGACGGATTATGGTCAATCAGGTCACCAGCTGGTAGACCTAAAACTATTCATAAATTAATGTTGCATAACTTGCTTTATCAGATAATGTATCAACTGGCTAATATAGTGGTATTATACGCTGATGTATCAAGTCGGGTTAAATTGTTTCATCCAAGACTGAATGAGTCACTTTAAAAGAATTCTTATTAGGTCATAACTTTATATATTAACTGCTGTAATGGCAGCTTATAGATCAAATAATAACTAAGGGGCAACTGTTTCATCGCCTGTGTTATAAGTAATTATGACAATACTTCAAATGTGAAACATATCTTTTGTTAAACTTTACCCCTGCTCTTAATACATTTTGAGAGTACATAACTTGCACAGAACCCATATTTTATTATCCTTACATTCCTTCCAAGATGTCAGCCCGTATCAGTGTCTATGTTATAGTTGCTATGATGGTACACGAAGTCTTACCCCAGACTGGTGGTCAATATGGGAGTTGTGGGAAAATATCCATCGATATATAATATATTAGACATATAGATATATCCTAATATATATATAATCCATATATATTATATATATATATATATATATATATATATAATAACATTAGGATTAATTAAAACGTGATTAAAACCCAGTCAGGAATTCGAACTTGTCGCATTGTGGATGTTTCAAATTTACTAGAATTAATGTTGTGTTGACAGATGTGCAATAACCATTATAATTGACATATAAATATAATAATCCAAAAACTTATGTGTGAAATGTTAAAATATCACTTTGTTTCGTCTTTGAACCAACATAATGAAGACATATACTAGGCTAAAAATTGAGTTTGGACATCAGTTTATTAACAATGTCAAAGAGACCAATAAATTACCCAATAAACGCTTCTATTTTCTAGTACAATTTTTGCCCTTACGTAACGCAATTCAATTAAGTTCTTTATTATGCACCCCATACCCATCCCGTGGACGGTGGTGTAAAGGGTTACAGAGGCACATAATCGGTTCAGGAACTTAACCCTCTAGTTCGTTTAGCTAAGCAAATAACAATATTTTACGCTAGTTACAAAATGATTAATATTATATATACATGTACACATACTCATGCATACATGTACATATACATACGTATACATATATACATACACATACATATTTAATCACCCACACAAATACACACATCAAAATTCTTTTGTGTCACAAGTGATTCAACAAGAGGCTCACAACAGTCACTATACAAGGCAGTTTACATCTGTGATGAGTCACACAGTTACTAGTCTTGCTCCACACCCACCCAACTGGGCGGCAGCTTTACAGTCATGTGCATGCATTACCTACAGTAAGCAAATTTTGGATACTTCGCTAAGATTTCGGGCAGCACATCATTATGAATGAAGTACTTACACATTTCTTGGACACCAGTGATGGTGTTATCTCTAAATTCCACGATTTTTTCACATTCCATTATATAATGACGCAAAGTATGCGAATAGTTCTGCTGACAGAGTTTACATTTAGTCAAATCTACATCAGCAGACGTTACAAATTCCCAGAGGTACTTGTAGCCGAGCCTAAGCCTAGCAGTGGTAACATCTAAAAGTCTGCTAACCTTATTGGATGACCCATAGACGTGCAGTACTTCCTACATAATAGAATGATGATAGATGGAGTAACTGGTGTGAATTTCATTTTGCCTCAAGTCTCCGAAATTTAGTTGATGTTCCCGGAATATTGCTGCCCTCAGGCTGCTCAAAGGCACTCCAAATTGCATACGAGCGAAATGCAACTTTCTTGTAAGTTGAACTGCCATCATTCGCAGACTAACTGCTGATGTGCACGGACGTACTCCTTGCCCACCACAACTGTCAGGCGGTGGACGTGTTACCAACTGGTTCCAAGAACAAAGCTGAAATACAAACTAGCGCCTACTGATGTCTTGTGTATTGGATAGTCTGTTTTGTATAAGTGCCCAAGAGAAAAAAATCTCCTTTGACAATTCTTCCATTAGTCATCTCAGCCGCGGACACCTGGCCTTAGACAGAAACGGCGCCCGGGACCACTACATCAATCCCAATGACAAATAAACTTGACGTTGTTATTACAAATAGGTGTTTGTACCAAGGATGCATTGTTAATGGCGTTAACTGGCTTGTAGTCTCATTAGAACATACAACAACAAATCAGTAAACAACAATTGATTAGTTCACATTCCTATAACAGAGTTCGAATTCTTAACACTTAGTACTTCTGTAACTAGATAATATATAATTTTTCAGTTAGTAAATATTGTAGTTATAGCTCTTTAATCATATTACAACAAAGTAAAGAATATGATGATATATTGTTACAACAATTAATCAATCAACTGACAAGAAGGTTGTGTGGTTGATGCAGGTAAGCGCGGATCGCACATCTATCCAGAAACAACAGTTGCAAAACTTGCCGCATAATGTTGAGTTTCCACAGGAGCAGTGAGCCATGGTTACTATATCCTTCGACCACTTAAGGCGCCGCAACCTTCATAAGACGACTCCCTTTGCTTGTTATCTTGTAATCTGTACTTGTGTAAAACTTGTAATCTGTATTTGCGTTTTCGTGTGATGTGTTTTGATTATCTTCATATGTATATGTTTACTGATCAAGGCGTTGCGACTGTCATTCTTCAAATGAAAGATTTTATCAACATTTTCTTACTTTCTCTTTTCCTGCCTCTCACAACAGTCTGAAGGACCTTCTTCTGAATAACTTCAACAACGGAATATATCATTTAAATGTTAAAGAGCCATTTGTTTTCTGCGTTTCATGATTGTTTAAATATCTGCTAGAAACTATGCAATATATCATATAGAATTTTAAATTAAAAATGCCCGATGAGTTGAATTATCCATTTCTAATGTTGAGCGCTTCCCCCTTCAATTCTATTGCTGAGCATGCCCCTCAGGTTATTTCTAATACTGAGCGTGTCTCTCTGGTCATTTCTAGTGCTGAACACTTCCCTCTGGTAATTTACAATGCTGAGCACTTCCCACTGGTAATTAATAATGCTGAGCACTTCCCACTGGTAATTAATAATGCTGAGCACTTCCCTCTGGTAATTTACAATGCTGAGCACTTCCCTCTGGTAATTTACAATGCTGAGCACTTCCCACTGGTAATTAATAATGCTGAGCGCTTCCCACTGGTAATTTATAATGCTGAGCACTTCCCACTGGTAATTTACAATGCTGAGCACTTCCCTTTGGTAATTAATAATGCTGAGCACTTCCCTTTGGTAATTAATAATGCTGAGCACTTCCCACTGGTAATTTATAATGCCGAGCACTTCCCACTGGTAATTTACAATGCTGAGAACTTCCCTTTGGTAATAAAAAATGCTGAGCACTTCCCTTTGGTAATTAATAATGCTGAGCACTTCCCTTTGGTAATTAATAATGCTGAGCACTTCCTTTTGGTAATTTACAATGCTGAGCACTTCCCACTGGTAATTTATAATGCTGAGCACTTCCCACTGGTAATTTATAATGCTGAGCACTTCCCTCTGGTAATTTACAATGCTGAGCACTTCCCTTTGGTAATTAATAATGCTGAGCACTTCCCTTTGGTAATTAATAATGCTGAGCACTTCCCTTTGGTAATTAATAACGCTGAGCACTTCCCACTGGTAATTTATAATGCTGAGCACTTCCCTCTGGTAATTTATAATGCTGAGCACTTCCCACTGGTAATTAATAATGCTGAGCACTTCCCACTGGTAATTAATAATGCTGAGCACTTCCCACTGGTAATTAATAATGCTGAGCACTTCCCACTGGTAATTAATAATGCTGAGCACTTCCCACTGGTAATTAATAATGCTGAGCACTTCCCACTGGTAATTAATAATGCTGAGCACTTCCCACTGGTAATTAATAATGCTGTATATACAGTTATGTATATACAATTAATAATGCTGTATATATCTTCTATACAGTCATATGCAGTGTTTGAGCTCTCAGCAACTTACAAGTTGTGCCGAGCACTCTTCGTGTGTGTTATGACCACGTAACCGTAAAGTCATCTATCTGGCAGAGATATACTTCCTATCTTGCTTGTCGTGGAACTGAACACTTGTTGCTGCAATGTTATCCCTTCCGGCTAGACACTTTTGAGTGGTTAATTTGATCTTCATCTTGCATTAGTCTACAAAAACTACGTTGTAATAAATATTTTGGTATTTGCATACAGGCTTTATGGTTTAGTTACGCCTACAGGGGTTATTAGTGCCGAGACTTATGTTAATATATCTCAGAATTAAACAACAAATTATCATTTTATAGAAATATATATAACAAAAATACGCATTAAGAAAGAATTAAACACAAATATTATCTGACTAATTAAGAGACATGATAAATATATTGCACTCCAACCCACCACGGGACTTATCACGTCCAAGATGAACCACTAACGGTAGTGCACGTCCAAAAATACTGAAGCTAATCCAAGTTTAAGATAAAGCACTGCAGGAAATGCACGTCCAATATAAACCAATAAAGGTAATCAACGTCCAGAATAAACCACTGCAGGCAATGTATACTAATATACTCCTTTAAAGATAATATACGTCTAACAAAAATCAATAAAAGTAAGGCATATCTAATATAAACCACTGAAGGTTATGTGCTTCCAATATAACCCAATAAAGAAATTTTATGTCTTATATGAACCACTGAAGGTATTAATGCGCGTCTAATATAAACCCCAGAAGGATAATAGATGTACCTCCAACTACTATTATCTCCTCTACTACACTTTGCTCCTCACCTCTCTCTAGCCTACTTATTGCCTGCATCTACTTCCTCATCACAACCGACTTGAGAATGGTCCAGGACGGACCGAAACGTCGTCGTCCCTTCACCTTCTAGTGTGTGTGGTCTGGTCAACTTACTTTAGCCACGTTATTGTGACTCATCGCCTGCATGTACCCCCAATATAATCCTCTGCAGATACAACAAGGCCAGTATAAACACCACTGAGGGTAATGTGCATCCAGTATAAACCACTCAAATAAATTATGTCTTATATAAAATGACGAAAGTAATGCACGTCCAAAATAAACCATTACAGGTAAAAAACACGTCTGGTATAACATACCAGTGAAGGTAACGAGTGTCTGACATAAACCACCAAGGTAATCCACCTCCCAAAATAAACAACTTGAGGTAATCTACTTCCCCAAATAATAGACTGAAGGTAATCCACGTCTAAGATAAACTACTGGAAGTAATCCACGTCTAAGATAAACTACTGGAAGTAATCCGTCTAAAATCTCCATTGAAAGTAATCCACGTGTAACAGTGACAACCATTGTCAAACTCGACTACCCACATATATATCAACAAGTAAATCTTTAATGCTGAATATATAACGAGGTTACTGACAGAACATTTCCATTCAATACATTGTTTGCTTCGTGAGGCGTGGCCCACTTAGCCAACACCTGCAACGCAGTACTGGCGTCCGCCCACGTGGTGTGTGCTCTCTCTCCCTCTAGCCTCATATAAGACAGCTACACAATCAGGCACATCACTTGTGACTCCTGCGCTAAGATCACGATGGTGGAGGTGAGAGCGTTGTGGCTGCTGGTGCTGGTGCTGGCGACGGTGTCTACGCATGCGCAGGTGAGTCCACTGGCTGGTCCCACCCAACGTTTCTACTTTATTTTGTACCGTGTTCTAAATGAGTTTAATTGTATATAATGTCTGCCTTAAGTATGGGAAAATCTCTAGAGCAGGATGGACATCGAACCAATGTCCTGGTTTGTGTCAACTTTCGCAGGTCGCGTTCATCAATTTAGTATTATCAGAGAATTATAGATTTAATACTTTGAGTGATTATTTCTTTTCTTTCCTTTAGAATCAACTAGATATAATTATCTTGGGTTTCTTTTGGTTCTTGAATAAAACTCATGAAGGCTTCACCTCTCATCACCCTGTGATTAATGCTAGCAGTTAACCTAAACAACAACAATGCACTCTAAAATATCCCCTGAGACAACTCTGAGAGATATAATCAAGCATGAAACATTCAATAAATGTTTTCCATTGATTTACTGAAATTAAATGGAAATCTGTGGAATTACTGAAAATTGTGAGTATATCCTACATCACCAGTTTTCGGACGTTGTAACAAAGGATAATGAGTGCATTGTGAAGATGGTCAGTTTCATTAATGCTAGTCATAATACTTTTGCTCTATCAGACCAGATCAGGTTTTCAACTGTGCAACAGGGAAGCACTTGCCACAAAAAGAACGAAAGTTTAAACTAATACGCCTTCTTGAAGGACGAAAGGAATATACTAAATTCCATGGTGATGTCTTCAAAATGAGGTATCAGAAACGGTTTGATCCTTTGTCGAAGTAACACGTTTTTAAGACAAGAGCTGAATCAAAACGTTTTAATGTAGCAAAAGAAACGTCTCATGCTCGGAGATACTTGAAATCGCAAGAGATCGAGGTTATTCCACTGATAAACTTTTAACCTTTAAGCTAATAACACGCACATCCCACTGTTCACAAAGATGAAACAAAGTCAGTTTCTACCCGAAACGCTGCGCGTACTAGTGGCTTTATAAGATTGTAATTACTATACTATGTATCCTTACAACCCCAATGTACCTTCTTGTATATATATAAATAAATAAATAAATAAATAAATAAATAAATAAATAAATAAATAAATGAAACACTATTAAAACCAACATATCAGTACACATGTAGTATAGTCGAGTTCGTTCGCGACACGCAATCGGGAATTCCTGATTCAAATCCCTGGTAGGACAGACATAGTTGGCCACGTTTCCTCTCACCTAATGCATCTGTTCACCTAGCAGTAAATAGGCACCTAGGAGTTAAAGTCAGCTTGCTGTGGGGGGTTGCATTTTGGGAGTTCAGTAATTCGACACTGGGGTGGACCTCGATATAAACATATATACAAAGACTACCTATCCCCCGACAAAATGAATCATTATTGCTACTGTGGGATACACAATTCTAGCTTTGAGGTATATAGTCAATATGCCTCCGAGACTACCTTAACAGGTTTACATTCTTCACTCAAGCGCTGGACACAAAGGCACTACACTCACTCTTCTATATACAGTTCGTAAAATAATTACATTTAATCAACAATATTCACTGACAATAAAATTAGATGATTAAACATGAGATGTCAGTTATTACAAAGTAAATGTGTGTAAAGGAAAAGGATTAGTAACCGTTGTTCATGCAGGGCGGCAAGAGGGACTGTGAGGCGGCTGGCGGGAGATGTGTTCCCGCCAAAACCTGTGACGTCACACCTTCTCAACATGGCTGCCGGGGGCAAGATGACGTCTGCTGCATTAACACTCCATCACGCGGTGAGGCTTTAACATCCATTTCTAAGTTTCTTTTAGACAAATGTCCGAATACTTTTGGTAGCGTGTCGGAAGCATTAAAGAACTAGTTAATAGCACCACAGGTTACTGGAGCCGGGATGTAATTCCTAATAAGAGATGTTTTGCTTCATGCCAACAAGTCTAAAAAACTGTTAGTCAACCTAAGGTGATATTTTTCGCAGGGTTCTATGAACCTCAGAGCAAATTACAGAAGATTACCAGTAATCTCAGGGAACCCCCTACCTGGCTGACACTCTTAAGGCTCAACAGGGATAAAAATTAGACAATAGACGTGTAGAGCAGCAGGGTTAATCATTATTAGCTGATAATTTTAATGAAATATAACAAGAGTATATATTTATTACCTATTTAAATTTACTAATTACTGTTAAAAACAAAATTGCATTTTTTTTTATTTTACATGTGGCTAACTGGTTAAAAACATTGTGTGCATTTTATAATGATTTTGTGAGAACATCAGTAGTCGGAGTGCGAAGAAAAGGGTTAAAGGAAAAACCTTTAACTGTAGAAGGAGTAGAAGCTTTTAACATATGGGTCAAGATCTTACAAAATTTTGCAAGTGGAATCCTTCATGGTGGCAAGGAATGGAAGAATACGAGGAAAGATATAACAAATTTGAGCCGAGAGGGAATCCTAAAAGTGAGACATCGGTACAGAAAAAGGAAGGTGGTGAAAGGGAACAGGGCCTATATGAGGGGTAACACTAATACCACGGCACAAACGAGTGTGAGGATACTGCAGGCATCGTGCGAGGTATCGAAAGCAGTAATGATTACGACGATCCTGTAGAGACAGATTGTTGGTTTAAATATACATGCTCTAGGTAGGAGATGCAAGAGGGGCACCAGAGCTGAGGCGGAACCCAGTATGGTGCAGAGCATCAAGACGACGAAGGAACTAAGAGGAGGTAGAGGAGTAGGTAGGGCAGCCATAATCAAGTTTACATAGCACGATTGAGAGAGTGCTAACAGAGGATCATGCTTCTTTCAGCTCCCCAGGAAGTATGAGACAAGACTAAGTTAGATAAGTGCCTTAGAGCATTCAGAGATAAGATATATGTGGTGACCAAGGCAAGCGAGTGTCAAAGATAAACCCCAAAAGTATAGCAGAATCTTTATACAGAAGGGGATTACCATAAAGCGACCAGGGGGTACGAAAAACGATCTGCTTCCCAGTAAAGGTCATATCACAAGTTTTAGTCATAGAGAACTTGAAGCTATGATTGGTGGCCCAGGACGAAACGGAATCAATTGCGAGTTAGATCTGGTATTGGTGGAAATCACCCCGACAGCAGATTGAGATCAACACAAAAGGCAGAGAAAATGCCAATGGAAAATAAGAAGACCATTTAGGGAAACTAGGAAAATTAGTAGTATTCAAGACACTACTTTGGGAAACACCTTCATATTGTTGAAAAGAGTCAGACAGTGGTGCCAAGTCTCTCTTTAAACGATCTGATAGCTTAGAAGGAAGCCTCTGCGACAAAGACCAAAAAAATGGAGTTGGGATAAAATATTGTATCCCCAAGTGGTGTCATAAGTCTTTTCCAGGTCATATATAAAAAAAGGAACAACAGAGTTCTGCGACTGTCTTTTCTAGACCGCGTGCTTACAGGCGTACAGCTCGAACACAGTCTGAATTCCTCCAGTAACGCGCTGCCTAGTTTTCGTAATGAAACATTTGGCTGTTGTTTGGTTACCACACAGCCCACAACTAATTACGTTCAAGCTTTTCTTGAACTGTGCTTCGTTCTTTTTCTGTTTTCGATTCTTGTGCATATCGTAAATAAAGACCAAAATGTTATCTCTTAATTTGAATAGGTTGGGTTAGGTTTGATTAGGTAAGGTTGGAATAGATTTGGTTAAAGATCAGTGATGACGTACGAATGAAACCTTTCTCAGGTCTTAGACTAGGTTTTAAAGAGGGCGTGTGAGAAGGGAATGAGGCGGACGATTTTGTTGGTACTTCAGAATGAAAACCACTACTTTAATCCGAATGAGTCTTCCCTATATTAATGTACTTATTATTTCTCATTTTTATAGAGAAAAGCGAAGCTACAAAAATCAAAGCTAGTAGAGAAAGAAAAACAGGGAGAAAGAGGAAGCAGTTCAGGACAAATAAGAATAAGGCAATTAAGAAACACATTACACATAAACTGAAAAATCCAAAAAATAAAGTGAGGAAGCTGAGAGCTGGTCGCCATGACACCAGAGATGAAGGTGATGACAGAGACGGATATGGAGAAGGAGGCAACGCTTGCAAGGAGATGGGCGGACAGTGTCACCCCAAGAAATACAAGTGTAAGAAGATTAAAGCCAAGGGATGCGCAAGAGGAGAAAAATGCTGTAAGTAACTCCTAAGTGTGTGTGTGTGTGTGTGTGTGTGTGTGTGTGTGTGTGTGTGTGTTTGTGTGTACACAACTAGCTGCTCTTTTCAAAGCTTCAGCTCTCGGGCACCAACTCTCAACCTTCTATCCTGTATTATACAAGTTACTCAGCCCTGTTGCTTCTGTCATATCTGCACTTTAAGCAGTGAATAGAGTCTGCTTCAACAATTAGTCTTGTTAATGCATTCCATCTATTTATTGACAAAAACAAATATATATCACTCTCTCATTCGGGTGCCTAATTTGCACCGGTGTTCGTGAACGCCCGAGCCAAATAGTTTGTCCTGTAAACTCCCTAATATTTTGTACATAGGGATCATGTATCTCCTACATCTTGTCTCTTCCAATAACGTGATTTGAATCAATTTAGTTATTCCTTGCAATTTATGCCACTTATCCATGAGTCTATTATACATAGAGCCTAATATACCTAGATCCTAGTATACCTACAGTCTAGTATACCTAGAGCCTGTCAGCAGATTAGTTTTGATGAGAAAAGGACCACCACTGCTCTTTCCTCCAAGGTGGTCAGGTCGAGTCCTCTCAGCTCCGACACAACCTTTACCACACAAGGTTTCTTGCCTAATTATATATATATTCTTTGGATGGGGATTCCATTGCTGAAAATGCATATTAAAGGGGCAGATCTTATATAGGTTCTATTTAGCTTTCTGAAAGCCTTTATATTAAGATTGATAAAGCTATTCAACTATTTAGCCAAACCTTAGGTTAAAGTAAATTAACTATTTTCTTGTGATGAGTTGAGTCCAGTAAGCAAACCGGCTGATGTTGCAACTACCTTATCAGTATCCAATGAAAGATTAAGTTTTCATAGTAACCTTCTTATTATCTAGTCCCTCCCAATTCTTGTCTCATCTCCTCTTTAATCATCTCTGATTATCTGAGTCTTTCGTATTCTGGTCTTCCAGATTCACTGGGAGCTCTGGGTAGCTGTGTAGAAGTTTTTTGCCTGGGACTCTGTGTCACTCTCTGCTTCACTTCTAACTTTTATGTACTCATTCCACTCTTCTGCAATTACTGTGGTTAGCTTTCATTATTTTTCACTTGAATGTCCTTTTGCCTAAAAACATTATTTCCTATGCATATTTAACCCCGTTTTAAATTTGCTGATTATATTCACCCTAGGGAGAATATAATGATTTGTTATATTCTCCCTAGAAAATATTTGTTACATTCAAATCAGAGAATATACTCTGATTTGTTGGTAATCCCCTATGCAGAGTCCTATTCTTTTTGTTTCACTCTCCTATTGTTTATTAATGGATTTCTATTACATGTAATAAATATTCAAATTATCACTTTTTTCATATGTGCATTATATAATCGTATTTTTTCTATGTCAGCCTCTCTGGGTGTTAAAATCAGGTGAAATTTTACCTGGGAAGTCATCAAATTTTCGTGTTGCCTCATAAAAATATTGTCAAAATGTTCATCTGTGCTATCTCCATTAGGCTTACTCAGCGTGTTTGCTCTCTTCCTGATGGGCTTAACGTTTTCCAACCCAATTTTCAAATAGTTGAATTCCCCCCTATTACGGTCATGTTTGCTCTCAAGAACAAACAAAAGCAAACTGCTTTCTTAATGAGTTACTCCATTTCTAATATCATAATACTGTTTAGGTCTATCGTAATTTTCAAATGGGTTGTAGATTACCGCCGTCGGTTTCTCAACCCTTTTATGTTTTTTTCTTGTGAGGAATCAGAGTAACTATTTGCCCCTTTGTAGCAAAATTAAAATGATCTTTCGTTGCCTGTCTAATAATCCTTGGGATTATATTCTCGGCTTTGATTCCAGTTACTTTTTTTTTATCACACCGCATCTTATTGATACGGTCTCATAACACTCCTCCGTGTTGATGTACTCACCTAATTGTGCTTGCGGGGGTTGAGCTTTGGCTCTTTGGTCCCGCCTCTCAACCGATGTGTCCCATATCCCGTGTCTTCGTGTTTGATTTCCACATCAATGTATTAAAGAATATATTGAAGAGTATAATATATTATGTTCATCATTTCCACTTATATTAAAGAACATAAATGACACATAACCACGTAAACAATTAACAACAGAATACTTTAAAGATATATTATGAAATATACACTGAAGGCGAGTTTACTATTGTATATTTCATTTACAGGTCATGGAACGCATGATAAACCGCACGATGTGGCGGGTCCCCCAGGTCCCCCTGGTCCTCCTGGTCCCCCTGGACCTACTGGTCCTTCTGGGTCTGATGGTCACCATGGTAAACCAGGTCCGTCTGGTCATGACGGTAAAGACGGCGTTCCCGGTACTCCAGGCAAGGACGGCATGCCAGGCAAGGACGGCATTCCAGGCACCAACGGCACCAACGGTACCAACGGTACCAACGGTACTAACGGAATTAACGGCACAGACGGTGCTCCCGGTAAAGACGGTAAGGACGGTGCTCGAGGCATGCCTGGTCATCCAGGTAAGGACGGCTCTCCAGGCAAGGACGGTATTCCAGGCACCAACGGTACTAACGGCAAGGACGGGGCACCTGGCAGGGACGGGGCTCACGGGGAACGAGGACATCCAGGTCATCCAGGACCTGCTGGCCCCCGTGGTCCTGCAGGACCTTCAGGTGCAAATGGCACTAACGGTGCTGATGGAGCCCCGGGGCGTCCTGGTGCTGATGGCCATCCAGGATCTCAAGGCCCTCCAGGTCCTCCAGGACCTGGAGGACCACAAGGATCACAAGGACCGCAAGGACCACAAGGACCACAAGGAAATGAAGGACACATGGGCCCTCCAGGACCCACGGGCCCTACAGGACCCATGGGCCCTAAAGGGTCTCCAGGGCCTAAAGGTCCTCCAGGAAATAATGGACATGGAAATCATGGAGGTGGCAATAATGGACATAATGGACATAATGGAGGTGGCAATAATGGAGGTGAAAATACTGGACATGATGGACATAACAATAATGGAGATGACAATGATGGACATAATGGACATAACAATAATGGACATAACAATAATGGAGATGACAATGATGGACATAATGGACATAACAATAATGGACATAACAATAATGGAGATGACAATGATGGACATAATGGACATAACAATAATGGACATAACAATAATGGACATAACAATAATGGACATAATGGACATAACAATAATGGAGATGACAATGATGGACAAAATGGACATAACAATAATGGAGATGACAATGATGGACAAAATGGACATAACAATAATGGACATAACAATAATGGACATAACAATAATGAACATAATGGACATAACAATAATGTACATAATGGAGGTAACGATAATGGACATAATGAAGGTTTCAATAATGGAAATAACTCAAGTGACCAGACTGAACATAATGGAAGTGATGATAATAATAAGAATAATGATGACGATAACAGAAACTAAAATAATCTACATATAAATCATGGAAATAACCGGCCTGGAAATGGAAATGTTGAAAATGGATACAATAACAATTCCACTTATGGAGAGGATTCTGGTAAGGAAATGTAAGCTCTGGGGTAATGGCCCTTCTCAATCAATCATGACCTTGGAGCTGAGGAGAGTAAACCGTAGGGAAGACCATAACTTTAACACCCACAGCCAGGACCACAGGAAGGTATATGGATCAACACCCACAGCCAGGACTACAGGAAGGTATATGGATCAACACCCACAGTCAGGACCACAGGAAGGTACATGGATCAACACCCACAGTCAGGACTACAGGAAGGTATATGGATCAACACCCACAGCCAGGACTACAGGAAGGTACATGGATCAACACCCACAGTCAGGACTACAGGAAGGTACATGGATCAACACCCACAGCCAGGACTACAGGAAGGTATATGGATCAACACCCACAGCCAGGACTACAGGAAGGTACATGGATCAACACCCACAGCCAGGACTACAGGAAGGTATATGGATCAACACCCACAGCCAGGACTACAGGAAGGTATATGGATCAACACCCACAGCCAGGACTACAGGAAGGTACATGGATCAACACCCACAGTCAGGACTACAGGAAGGTATATGGATCAACACCCACAGCCAGGACTACAGGAAGGTATATGGATCAACACCCACAGCCAGGACTACAGGAAGGTACATGGATCAACACCCACAGTCAGGACTACAGGAAGGTATATGGATCAACACCCACAGCCAGGACCACAGGAAGGTATATGGATCAACACCCACAGTCAGGACTACAGGAAGGTACATGGATCAACACCCACAGTCAGGACTGCAGGAAGGTATATGGATCAACACCCACAGCCAGGACTACAGGAAGGTACATGGATCAACACCCACAGCCAGGACTACAGGAAGGTATATGGATCAACACCCACAGTCAGGGCTACAGGAAGGTATATGGATCAACACCCACAGCCAGGACTCCAGGAAGGTATATGGATCAACACCCACAGTCAGGGCTACAGGAAGGTATATGGATCAACACCCACAGCCAGGACTACAGGAAGGTATATGGATCAACACCCACAGCCAGGACTACAGGAAGGTACATGGATCAACACCCACAGTCAGGACTACAGGAAGGTATATGGATCAACACCAACAGTCAGGGCTACAGGAAGGTACATGGATCAACACCCACAGCCAGGACTACAGGAAGGTATATGGATCAACACCCACAGTCAGGGCTACAGGAAGGTATATGGATCAACACCCACAGCCAGGACTACAGGAAGGTACATGGATCAACACCCACAGTCAGGACTGCAGGAAGGTATATGGATCAACACCCACAGTCAGGGCTACAGGAAGGTATATGGATCAACACCCACAATCAGGTCTACAAGTGTAGAGGTGAATGGCTCCACAACCTGTAACTCGTTACTAAGCAATGAGAACCAACGCACTGCATGCTGTATAGTACAGTTGAGTCCTCCATATTTTATATTATGGTTTTTGTTGTCAACTTGTTCCACAGGTACTTTATTTCAAAGTTGTTTTTGTATTTACTTTACCAGCTGACTCATATAGTAGTGAATAAGTCTCTTCACCAAAACTGTCATCAGTTATTGTATAAGCTGAGTTATCAACCGCTATGTTTGATAACACAAACGTACCCAAATGTTCAATCAGTTTTTTATATAATTTATTTAGTATATTGTTGCATAAAATATAAGCAAAAATTCTTTCTGCGCAACTTTATGATTTTCTGTAATATATTTGTGAGAATATAATTTGCACGTGAGTAATGTATTTTATTTTCCTTACATTATTTTGAAAAGTTTTTACTGACATATAGTTTTGATTTTTCAACTAAATATTAGCAAGAAATTAAACAAAATATTAAATTAATTCAAATATTAAAAGGAATAATCTAACTTGAAAGAATAATATTAAAATAAATAATTAATATGAAATTAATACAAATCTGTATAGCAGAGAATGTGTGTACTCACCTATTTGTGCTTGCGGGGGTTGAGCTTTGGCTCTTTGGTCCAAAAACACACACTGTATGTGTGTGTGTGTGTGTGTGTGTGTGTGTGTGTGTGTGTGTGTGTGTGTGTGTGTGTGTGTGTGTGTGTGTGTGTGTGTGTGTGTGTGTGTGTGTGTGTGTGTGTGTGTGTGTGTGTGTGTGTGTGTGTGTGTGTGTGTGTGTGTGTGTGTGTGTGTGTGTGTGTGTGTGTGTGTGTGTGTGTGTGTGTGTGTGTGTGTGTGTGTGTGCGTGTGCGATGATGAACGGAGCAACTCCTGGTACCCCCCTTTTATTAAGCATATATTAAGACAACCGAAAACAGCAAGTGACAACCTTTACTTTCAACAACAATGTAGATCAGTTTGACCGTGAGAGGGACTGCAGGAGGGACTCTGTGATAGTCATGTCAGAGTCTCGCCAGCTACTGGATTGCGTACTTACTGCAGGAAGTACACCGTAATATCCAGGGGGCTGGATTCATCACGCAGCTATCCAACTTCCTGGGAACCTTTCTCTTATCACGATTGTTTTGGTTACGCCACGATAGGGAGCCGGTCGGCCGAGCGGACAGCACGCTGTACTTGTAATCCTGTGGTCCCGGCTTCGATCCTGGGCGCCGGAGAGAAACAATGGGCAGAGTTTCTTTCACCCTATGCCCCTGTTACCTAGCAGTAAAATAGGCACCTGGGTGTTAGTCAGCTGTCACGGGCTGCTTCCTGGGGGTGGAGGCCTGGTCGAGGACCTGGCCGCGGGGACACTAAAGCCCCGAAATCATCTCAAGATAACTCAAGATAACGATTCAACAGTTCCCACACTATAACCTTCTTAAGGACACCGCTCCCGGCCAAGTGACCTCCAGACTTCTTCTGACTTTACGTAAACCTTCTAACTTTTACTTAGAGATTTGTATCTGCTTTGCTAACAATATATGCTCTGAGCGTTTGTAACTTGTATTAAACATTTTCTTAATATATACAATTGTCATAAGATATTGTATAATTGCTTAGATTGAATCAATGGATGATACCAACAATCTTAAACTACGCAATAAAATTTACCCAGAAAGTTATCAATTATTTTATAAATTATCAACCTATACATTAAATTAATTCATACTAAATCAAATATATAAAACTCAACCAATTAATTTGAACTACAATAAGACACAAAAATTACAATCTGATTTCTTTTTTCGGCATTACAGTATTGTATATACTTTTAAATTGATCACCTAGATTAAACACATAACATAAAATATACTAAATTCCCCTCTAATGCATTGTGTGTGCTCTTCTCTTGCGACTAAGGGTTCCCTTCTTCCAGCCACAGTGGTACCCCCTTAAATACAAAATGCAAACAAAATCCTTTTCTAATAACATTATTTCATTCACTGGGACTACCGGAGCCGCGACCGCCAGAGCGGTAGTCGGTGACTATAACCACAAAGCTATTAAACACCTGCAATAAAGGAGAATCTCAAGCACATACAACTGGTACCCAATTGAGACTTTAGGCCTCCCCTGGGGTGCATATCGAGTTCATCTATTTGTGACTGAAGGCTCAAGATCTTGAACATTGCCATTGCAATTTAAGCTAAAACAACCTATTCCAGCATGCAATTCCAGTCAATTCCAGTAAGATACATACCTATTTGTGTCTGAAGGCTCTATCTCATGCACTCCGCCATTCTAGTTAATTCCAGACAGTTATAGATAGCCATTTCAACCCACTCAAGATCATTCCAGCGTGACTATCGATGATTTCTGTGTTGCTTGTTAAGATTTTTCTGGTGATGGTCTGGTTGTGAGGGGAGATTATATGTTCCTTGATGGAGGCCTGTTGTTTGTGCACTTCCACTTTCCACTCCACTCCAACTCCACTTTGTTAGGTTATGTCCAGACCAAGTGAAATGGCCCGGAAAGTGGAGCGGGAGATCCTATTGGACGACATAATCGACCTCGAGACGCAAAAGAAGGTTACCACTAAAGACACCTTGCAAGCGGCACTTATTGCAGAAGGAGGAAAGATTCGAGGTGACTACAGAAGCACCATACTGTCCCCCGAGCTCAAAGAGGCAGCTAAGAGTCTTCGTGAGAATAAGAAGATAGTAGTCAGGAGAGGTGATAATATACGTTATTCTTAAAAGAGACGAATATCTGGCAAAAATTAACCTCATACTCTCTGATGAAACTAAATTCCAAAAGGGTAACGAAGGACACTACAGCCGAATTGAAAACGAAGGTAAACAGATTGATCGAAACTGTAAACACCAAAAAAAACGGACTCCACCTGCCAAAGGTTATTTGGGAATACAAACCTAGTTATTCGTATGGGAATGTCAAGACCCACAAGCCTGGAAACCCACTTCGGCCAATCATCAGCCAGATACCCACACCCACATACAGACTGGCTAAGCGACTTAAAAGCTTGCTGAATCCTTATGTACCTTGTGCTTTCAGCCTGAAGTCTCCAAAGGAATTCGTTGACTTACTGCAAGGAGCACGGGCCATAGGGATAAGAGCCCCTTTGGATGGAGAGTCACTGTTTACCAACGTACCTGTGGATGAAACCATCGGGATGATAATGGACAGAATGTATTATGATCTGGCTTGTACTCCTCTTGACATACCAGAAAACATACTAAGAAAGTTACTCCAAGCCTGCACTAAAGAGGCACCCTTCTTAAGTCCAAATGGGCATATGAATAAGCAAGTCGATGGGGGTCGCCATGGGTTCTCCCCTAGGTGACCTGTTTGCGAACTTCTACATGGGCACCATTGAACAGGTCTTAGTTGACATGGACTTGAAACCTGCCATATACTGCAGGTATGTTGACGACATTTTTACACAAGTACCTGATGTCCGACGTCTGAAGGAGCTAAAGGAGGCATTCGAGCGGAATTCTGTGTTGAGTTTCACTTACGAGATGGAGAAGGATGGGAAGCTGCCCTTTCTGGATGTAACAGTCACGGAAAGGGGCGGAGGCTTCCACACTGCAGTCTACACTAAGGAAACAAACATAGGAATGTGCCTCAATGTCAATAGTGACTGCCCAGACTCATACAAGAGGAGTGTTGTCAATGTTTACATCGACCGTGCTCTCAGCCACAGCTCAGGATGTAAGCAAGTAGACGAGGAACTCTGTAGGGTAAGGCAGGTCCTAGTCAACAACGGCTTCTCTAATAGTTTTGTTGAAGACATCATAAAAAAGAAAGGTAAAACGCTATGCAATCTCTGAAGAGTCAACTAATACAACACATGAACCCTCCTATTAGACTATTTTACAGGAACTTCTTCTCGACAGCTCATAAAACGGAGGAAAGGGTCCTGAAAGATATTGTTGATAGGAACGTTATCCCTAAAGACAAAAAACAGAAAATACTATTGACGATTTACTATAAAACCAAAAAAACGGCCAATCTACTCGTGAAAAACTCTCCAGACACAAAGCAGAATGCCTTGAAAGAGATCAACGTCGTCTATACCTTCAAATGCCCTCTTGGGGACTGTAAGCCCCAAAGAACTCAGTATATAGGCAAGACAAAAATGTCTCTTTCCAGGCGATTAACAATGCATAAGAAACAGGGCTCCATAAACGAACACATAATCTCCTCTCACAACCAGACCATCACCAGAGAAGTCTTAACAGACAACACAAAAATCATTGATAGATACAACGATAGCAGGCGGCTCGACATCTGCGAGGCACTACACATCAAAAAGTCAACACCAGCAATCAACAGCCAATTAATGCACAACTATATTCTACCCACTTCAAGACTCCGAACCAATATAGAAGCATCAAGAGGAAGTATGGGCCAATAGGCCCTCGGCAGTTACTTCCACTCTATGCTCTCATATCCAACTAATACTCATTGTTTCGTGTTCTGTCTTCCATTTGTCACAAATTTGTTCATCTCATCCAAAACTGTTGCACCATATCACCTCACCCAAGTGCGAGTATATGTAAGACGGATAAGCTGTTTAGTGAAACTAACTCTGTTTAGTAACTCTGTTTTAGTAAAGTAAAACTCTGTTTAGTGTTTTCAGGTTACAGTTGTGTGTGTGTATATATATATATATATATATATATATATATATATATATATATATATATATATATATATATATATATATATATATATATATATATATGGGGGTAAAAGTGCTGCAAGCTTTTTGAAGGAGTTGGGGTCTAAGCTAATCGAAACAACTAGAGACCCTAGAGCTGCCAGTTTTCTTTTTCAGCGCCTTAGTGTGGCAATCCAGAGAGGAAATGCTCACTGCATCCATGGTTCCTGCCCGCCATCTGAGGAGCTGGAGGAGCTGTTCAACTTGTGACAAGCAGCCTTGTACCCTGCATGTAATCAATATTGTAACTTTTTCTGTGTAATGACATTTTCAAATAAAGTTAGATAAATATACACACATACCAAATGAATAGGGGTGGTAGGAGAACAAAATATCAAAGAGTTCAGTGAGGATCCACAAGGTCTTCTCTGAGTACTCTTTATTTTCTTCTCCGAGGCTATGGGTCCCTACACTTGCACCAGAGGTGGTACCCCTATATATATATATATATATATATATATATATATATATATATATATATATATATATATATATATATATATATATATATATATATACCTAATAGCCAGAACGCACTTCTCAGCCTACTATGCAAGGCCCGATTTGCCTAATAAGCCAAGTTTTCCTGAATTAATATATTTTCTCTATTTTTTTTTCTTATGAAATGATAAAGCTAGCCATTTCATTATGTATGAGGTCAATTTTTTTTTATTAGAGTTAAAATTAACATAGATATATGACCGAACCTAACCAACCCTACCTAACCTAACCTAACCTATCTCTGTAGGTTAGGTTAGGTTAGGTAGCCAAAAAAGTTAGGTTAGGTTAGGTTAGGTAGGTTAGGTAGTCGAAAAACAATTCATGAAAACTTGGCTTATTAGGCAAATCGGACCTTGCATAGTAGGCTGAGAAGTGCGTTCTGGCTACTAGGTACGACATATACATATATACATATATATATATATATATATATATATATATATATATATATATATATATATATATATATATATATATATATTTATATATTATACTTTCTGGTCTGTCATTTATGTTAAGTTGCACCTTGGCATAAACCATCATTAGATGCGTGGTGTTTGATCATAGGTGAAACACCTGCAGGTTTGTAGTCCATGAATACGTTTGTATTTCAACAGGACTATAAAAGACCAACCCAAACACCAGAGCAACACACTTGCCTCCTGGATCAGGACGATGAATGTGGTAGTAAGAGCGCTGCTGCTGCTGGTGGTGGTGTCGTCACAAGTTCAGGTTAGTCCACAAACATTTTGAAGTACCAACAAACGATATTAGGATTCGGTCCGTTAGTGTACAGACTTGTTGATGTACAAGAGAATGTATCAAGAAACTGTAGATTAACATATTTCTTACTTCGTTCATATACTCATGACTAACTTTCATATTTCATATTCAAGTATTCTGGAAGCAATATCCTTATTATTAATAATAAAACTTAGTTTCAAACTTTTAAATCGATTCAGTTGAAGAAAAGATTATCTTGTATTTGAACTAGTTGACTCACATCAGCAAGTTATTCTTAACTTCTCCCGTCACTCTTCATGATAAATCCAAACATCAGTAAAATTTTCCGATCAAGTTATATTGGAAAGAAAATTTAAATAATTGTTTTTCAATTTTCATGAGGATTTAATCAAATCTGAACCGACCCCAATTTTCCTACTGAGATTCATCTAAAAATCAAAAACATTTTCCCATTTATCAAAAAGCGGTACTAAACACCGACTAGACCTGGTGACTGTTTTATGGCGTTATAAACATCTGATTATTTACAGATATTTGTCGAACAAAAGATATTGGGAAGGATTAGTGATGATATCTTGTGACGGGGGTAGTTGTATGAATACTCGTTTGACGGATTGGTGTATGAATAGTCGGTAACGGGGTAGTTGTATGAATACTCCCGTGACGGGGTGGTTGTATGAATACTCTGGTAACGGGGTGGTTGTATCAATACTCCCGTGATGGGGTAGTTGTATGAATACTCCCATGATTGGCTAATTGTATAAACATTTACCAATTTATCCCGCCTGTTCTAACACACATTGTCCCGATATACAAGAAAGGAGATAGACAGGAGGCACTGAACTACAGGCCAGTATCCCCAACTTGCATACCAAGCAAGTTGATGGAGAAGATTGTGCGGAAAAAGCAGGTGGAACATCTGGAGCGAAGGAACTTTGTGACACAACATCAACATGCCTTCAAGGATGGCAAGTCATGCCTCACAGGATTAATTGAATTCTACGATCAGGCAACAAAAATCAGGCAAGAAAGATAGGATGTTCAGACTATATTTTTGGATTGCCAAAAAGCCTTTGACACAGTACCACACAGGAGGCAAGTGCAAAAGTTGGAGATGCAGGCAGGAGTAAATAGGAAACTGCTCCATTGGATAAGGGAGAACCAAAGAAACAGAAGCCAGCGAGTCACTGTGACGGGTAAGGCCTCAGATTAGCGAGAAGTCACTAGTGGAGTCCAGCAGGGTTCAGTCCTTGGACCTATACTGTTTCTGATATATATGTAATGATCTCCCAGAGGGTACAGAATCGTTCCTCTCATTGTTTGCTGATGATGCAAAAATTATGTGGAGGATTAAGACGGAGGAAGATAGTATGAGGCTACAAGATGACCTAGACAAACTGAGTAAATAGTCCAACAAATGGCTACTAAAGTTCAACCCGAGTAAACGTAAGGTAATGAAGCTAAGCAGTGGAAACAGGCCAGACACAGGATACCGAATGGTAGATGAAGTCCTTCATGAAACGGACCGAGAAAACGATCTAAAAGTTGACATCACACCAAACTTATCTCCTGAAGCCCAGATCAAAAGACTAACATCTGCGGCGAATGCAAGGCTGCCTAATATCAGAACTGCCTTCAGGAACCTGTGCAAGGAATCATTCAGAACCCTTGTATACCACATATGTAAGACCAATCCTGGAGTATGCGACCCCAGCATGGAGTCCGTATCGTGTCAAGCACCAAACGAAACTGCAAAAAGTTCAGAGGTATGCCTCTAGACTAATTCCATATCTAAGAGGCATGAGTTACGAGGAAAGGCTGCGTGAAATGCACCTCACGACACTGGACGACAGGGGAGGAAGTGGAGACTTGATCAATACCTACAAAATTCTCAGAGGAATTGACAAGGATGATAAACATAAACTGTTTAACACGGGTGGTACGCGAACAAGGGGACACAGATGGAAACTGAATACCAAAATGAGCCACAGGGACGTTAGAAAGAACTTTTTCAGTGTCTTGTGAAATGCATTAGGCAGTAATGTGGTGGAGGCAGTCTCCATACACAGTTTTAAATGTAGATATGATAGAGCCCAGTAGGCTCAGGAATATGTACACCAATTGATGGACAGTTGAGAGGCGGGACCAAAGAGCCAGAGCTCAAACCCCGCAAGTATAACTAGGTGAATACATTGTAACCCTCTTCGTTAAAAGCACTGACGAAGACTCGGATAATAATAAGGTACTTTCGTGTTGAACTTCTTGCCCGTCAACCACGGGAGAGTAACCACAAGATCTGACTGAATAGCTGACTACAAACATACTTCAAGACAAAAATACACTGTCTATACAATGTAGTTGTATGAAAATATAACAACTGTCGTATTTTCATAGAACCTCAGTACCTCAAGAGGTATCTTTGAGGTAGGAGTACCTACCTCTAGTCACAAGTAACAACATAACAAGGGATCACTGAAACTGACACCACGAAAGATTACTAAAGTAAAAATAGGAATGCGGTAAAAAATATGATAATTGTGTATCCAGAAAATAAATGTTTATTATGAAGAAATTTATCATGATAAAACGTAAAATGTTAACAATAGTTTTCTGTGCAGGGCGGAAAGAGGGACTGTGAGGCGGCTGGCGGGAGATGTGTTCCCGCCAAAGCCTGTGACGTCACCTCTTCTCAACATGGCTGCCAGGGGCAAGATAAAGTCTGCTGCATTAACACTCCATCAGGCGGTGAGGCTTTACCATTCACTTCTGAGTTTTTACTTTAAATATTTCTGAACAGGCTGACGATTCATGTAAGAATATCTGGCATATCTTGTGTTTAAGTCGTATATTTATACCTCCCGAAGTTCCTGTACTCTGTCACACTTGCTCTTGAAGCCGTGGATGGTGGCAGTTTCACTACCACCTCTCGTTCAAGTTCCTTCCATTTGTATATCACTATTACTGAATACCAGTATTTCCTTCCATATTTCTGGTCCTACTGTTTCCAACTTCCAACTGTTTCCACACTTTCTGTTGTCCCTCACTTGGAAATATGACTCTGTCCACTTTGACTACTCCCCTTAACATATTGTTCGTTGTGATTACAGTAGATACCAATGTCGTTTGATTTAATTTTCTTAGCTTCCCTCGTGGCCCTTTTGTTATATCTGGTACATGTCTAGTGGCCTATCTACTAAGAAAAACTTCTAGTTATTAAGTAAGGGTTCCATGCTGGAGCTGCATATTCTAGAACTGGCCTACCATACGCCCAGTACTGAAACCTAAAGGATTTCTTGCTTGCGTTCTTGAACGCCATCCCCATGTTTGTTCGTTTTGAGTATGTTAATATTTGCCTTTAAGGCTAGTGTTTTGTCCAATCCCAAGTACGTCTAATTTTTAAATTCCTGTAACTGGCACCCTCGTTGACTCTACTTCTGGTCTCTTCTCCCATCTCACAAACCTCAGATCTTCCCAATTGTGTTTAATCAAACCTCAGTAAAGCATTTAACACCCAATTCTTGTAGTGGTCCTAACACCGAACCCTGCGGGTAACCCGCTTGTTACCTCCCTCCATCCTAACATAACAACTCCATCATAACAACCCAGCGGGTAAACCGCTTGTTCCCTCCCTCTACTCTGACACTTCCTCCATCATAACCTTCATTTTTTGTTTGCAAGTAACTATGTAATATGGGCCAGTACCTTCTCAGATGCATATTAGTGTGAATGAGTAGATTGTATTGCACGTGTCTATTTTAATCATACTATGCTCACATATTTAACAGAGAACAAGAACGTAAAGATAAATAGAACCTCCGGAGAAAAAAAGATTGAGAGGAAACGGAAGCCACTCAAAAGAAATAAGAACAAGAGAATTAGCAAGAAAGCATACCAGCTGAAGGAGTCCAAAGATAAAGTGAGGAAGCTGAGAGCTGGTCGCCATGACACCAGAGATGAAGGTGACGACAAATACGGAGGAGGCAACACTTGCGAGGATACGGGCGGACGGTGTCACCCCAAGAAATACAAGTGTAAGAAGATTAAAGCCAAGGGATGCGCAAGAGGAGAAAAATGCTGTAAGTACTCGTGAGCTGGTGTGTGTGTGTGTGTGTGTTTACTAGTTGTGTTTTGCGGGGGTTGAGCTTTGCTCTTTCGGCCCGCCTCTCAACTGTCAATCAACTGTTTACTAACTACTTATTTTTTTTTTCCCCCACACACCACACACACACCCCAGGAAGCAGCCCGTGACAGCTGACTAACTCCCAGGTACCTATTTACTGCTAGGTAACAGGGGCACTTAGGGTGAAAGAAACTGCCCATTTGTTTCTGCCTCTTGCGGGAATCGAACCCGCGCCACAGAATTACGAGTCCTGCGCGCTATCCACCAGGCTACGAGGCCCCTGTGTGTGTATAACCGGATGCTCTCCGATCAGTGATGATTTCAAACACTAATAATAATTCATGCAGTAAATATTACATGACAACGCTGCCGAGAACTCATTTACTAGGATTATTAACCAATGATCTCTTGTGTTTGTTTATTTAATTATATACTTTCAGAAGTGATCTTTAACTCCTGGACTTCGCCATTTATTCGCCTGTCGTCTTTGGCAATAGATCAGACCTCTCTTGCTATATATTATTTACAAAAAAATAAAATATAATCACAAAAACACTGATCCAAGTATGCAGAAAAACTGCATGTGAAAAAGAGAAAATGCTTATATTAAATAAATATATATATATATATATATATATATATATATATATATATATATATATATATATATATATATATATATATATATATATATATATATATATATATATATATATATATATATATATATATATATATATATATATATATATATATATATATATATATATATATATACATATATAATATATATATATATATATATATATATATATATATATATATATATATATATATATATATATATATATATATATATTATATATATATATATATATATATATATATATATATATATATATTATATATATATATATATATATATATATATATATATATATATATATATATATATATATATATATATATATATATATATATATATATATATATATATATATATATATATATATATATATATATATATATATATAAAACACCTCTGATCAAACTGTAGGGACACATAGCCCCGAAGGACTTTGAATGTGAATTTTAAGAGGAAATAAAGGATATTAAGAGGAAATGTTTCCTAATGCCTTCAACCAATATCCTTCAGAAACCTCCCTGCATTCTCTCCCCATGGACCAAGGGTCTCTGATTCTATTGGAACAACGTTGCCATCCTTTTATAATATGAATTGTGCACTGAAGGCGAATTGACTTATGCATATTTTACTTACAGGTGAAGGAACGAATGGCGGACCAGCGCACCATGGTGGACCAGCGCACCATGGAGGACCAGCACATCATGGTGGACCAGCACACCATGGTGGTATGGTGGGTCCCCCTGGTCACCCAGGTCGCCCTGGAGATGATGGAAAACCAGGTCCTCCAGGTCCTGCAGGTCCTGTAGGTCCTGTAGGTCCCCAAGGTCCTCCCGCAAAAGACGGAGTGCCTGGCACAAACGGTATTAACGGTATAGATGGAGTTCCTGGCATAAACGGTACTCAAGGCAAGGATGGCTCTCCTGGAGTGGCCGGTCCTCCAGGCAAAGATGGCGCTCCTGGTATGGTCGGTCCTCCAGGCATGAACGGTTCACAAGGTCAGAATGGCATTCCGGGCAAGGACGGTGCTAATGGCACAAACGGTGCACCCGGTATGGACGGTGCTCCAGGCTTGCCCGGTCATCCAGGCAGGAGGGGAGATCCGGGCACCAACGGTATTCCAGGTACTAATGGTTCTAACGGCAAAGACGGTGTTCCAGGTACTAATGGCGTTAATGGAACTAACGGCAAAGACGGTGCTACAGGAGCTCAAGGGTTCCAAGGTCTCCCAGGTCTTCCAGGTCCTCCAGGAGTCAATGGCATTAACGGTGCTAACGGAGCACCAGGTTTTAATGGTACTAATGGTCTACCAGGTTCTCAAGGCCCTCCAGGATCTATAGGTGCATCAGGACCTCCTGGACCAGCAGGATCTGCAGGACCACCAGGAGCCACAGGGTCTCAGGGAGCTGTAGGTCCTGTAGGCCCAGCAGGACCTGCAGGAGCAAATGGAACGAATGGTGCACCTGGACCGCCAGGAGCACAAGGAGCTACTGGAGTTCCAGGACCATCAGGAGCTTCTGGAGCTACTGGAGCCCAAGGAGCAACTGGTGCTATAGGTCCAAGTGGACCTCAAGGAGTAAGTGGGCCTCCAGGTCCTTCAGGGCCTCCAGGAGCTACTGGTGGTACTGGACCACCTGGGCCCCCAGGACCTTCTGGTCCCCCAGGTTCAAACAGTCCTCCCGGAAAATCAGGAGAAGGAGGAGGAGGAGGAGGAGGAGGAGGAGGAGGAGTAGTAGTAGTACCTGCGAAGTAAAAGTTGTCCTTCAAACTGCAAACCGAAATTTTGCAGCTAAGGTGCCTGAAATGTTGGAAAAAGTGGAACTGTAATGCCAATTAGGTAAATTGATTCCGTATATCGATGAACACCTGCAGCGAGGACAACTGAGAAGGTTCATTGATCAATTCCTACAGTCAGGCCTACAGGTGTAGAGGTGAATGGCTCCACAACCTGTAACTCGTTACTAAGCAATGAGAACCAACGCACTGCATGCTGTATACTACAGTTGAGTTCTCTATATTTTATTTGATGGTTTTTGTTGTCTGTTCCACAGGTAATTTATTTCAAAGTTGTTATTATATTTGCTTTACCTTCATTTGAATAAAATTTGCATATCAGTAATGTATATTTTTTCCTTACATTATTTTTAAAAGATTTTACTAACATGTACAAGCATAGAGAAATCTCATAGCAACAAGCAGAGACATATAGTAGTATATGGTGAGCTATATTTGCGAAAGATCACCATACCTAATAGTCAGAATCGGACAAGTGAGCCTTGGAAGCATGGATTGTTTTGCCTTGTGCCCAGAGCCTCAGTGCAGAAATCAGTGTATACCTAATGGAATTACAATATTTTATTAATGAGTTTAGTTACATATTGAGGCTTAATTCCTTCATCATTTAGAAAGGTCTTGGAACATCTTGGTTAATTGTGTTTGCTATATCATATACACAAGCTGGCAAACCTTGTTATAAATTGAACACGTATTTTAATATATAATACTTATTTTTAAAGTAAACTCGCTATTAGTTATGATATATAAGTATCGTTCTTAATAATAAGACTTATTCTACTGAATCTCCTTGGGAAAGTCTTAAAAAATGACAGCTGTTGTCGGCCTCTCGCCTCCGGGTGGACCTGGCTAAAGAAGCACGGGGCTCATCACTCGTCTCATAGCTCGCAAGCAGTCATGATGGAAGAGACTGTTAGAGAAGTCTGTCAAACAGTAGAGCAGAGCTTCGACGTACAACTGTCTCTCGGGACGGGAGTAGACATCTTGCGGAGTTGAAGTGGATGGTGTAGTGGCAGGACAGGTGGGTCCCGACCTCAGCTCCTGGGTGACGTCATCTTACGGCGTTTACTTATTGTCACATAACTACTTGCCGAAACACCTTCCGTGTATACCCTCGTGCAGCTGACTTAGGGCCGATGGTGCAAGCGTGCATCCTGTTGGTGAGTCAACAGCACTCTGAAGGGAGACCTTGCCTTTGGTAACGTGATCACCTCGTTACACTTCCGGTTACATCAGATGACGTAGCCATAGATGTGAAGACGGGACTGATAAGTACTGCAACTGGCATACTTCTTCGCGAGCCTCTCTCCATTCACTTCCGGTTTGCCTGCACTCTTGACGACGCGGCTGCTGGACGTTGATGACATTGAGGCAGCTGACCCACGATGATTTTAATTGTTGACAACTGGCAACTGCTCCGTGTTGACAGCATTTTGGACCAGGACAACCTCGTTAATGACAGGTGTCAGCCGGGTGACTGGATCTGCAGAAGCCCTATTTGTATTGGCCCATATTTCTTGATGCTTCTATATTGGAGCGGAGTCTTGAAGTGGGTAGAATATAGTTGTGCATTAATTGGCTGTTGATTGCGGGTGTTGACTTCTTGATGTGTAGTGCCTCGCAGACGTCAAGCCGCCTGCTATCGCTGTATCTATCGATGATTTCTGTGTTGTTTGCTAAGATTTCTCTGGTGATGGTTTGGTTGTGGGAAGGTTGTGGGAATTTTGGAGAATTGATTTTTGAATTACCATCAACAGTGAAAAGAAACGTAAGAAAGATCGAGAAAATTCGTGTTAGAATTATTAATCTTACTTTTTCGGTCATATTTAATAATATATGTCTACAGGAAAGACTGCTACCAAAATATACTAATATATATATATATATATACATATATATATATATATATATATATATATATATATATATATATATATATATATATATATATATATATATATATTATACTTTCCGGTCTGTCATTTAGGTTAAGTGGCACGTTGGCATAAACCCTCATTAGATAAGTGGTGATGGATAGTAGGTGAAACACCTGCAGGTTTCAACTCCACGGCGACGTTTGCATTCCAACAGGACTATAAAAGACCAACCCAAACACCAGAGCAACACACTTGCCTCCTGGGTCAGGATGATGAAGGTGGTAGTAAGAGCGCTGCTGCTGCTGGTGGTGGTGTCGTCACAAGTTCAGGTTAGTTCACAAACATTTTGAAGTACCAACAAACGATATTATGCTTCGGTCCGTTAGTGTACAAACTTGTTGATGTACAACAGAATGTATCAAGAAACTGTAGCTTAAGATATTTCTTACTTCGTTCATATACTCATGACTAACTTTCATATTTTATATTCAAGTATTCTGGAAGCAATATCCTTATTAGTAATAATAAAATTTAGTTTCAAACTTTTAAATCGATTCAGTTGAAGGAAAGATTATCTTGTATTTGAACTAGTTGACTCACATCAGCAAGTTATTCTTAACTTCTCCCATCACTCTTCATAATAAACCCAAATATCAGTCAAATTTTCTGATAAAGTTAAATTTGAAAGAAAAATTAAATAATTGTTTTTCTATTTTCATGAGGATTTAATAAAATTTGAGCCGACCCCAATTTTCCTACTGAGATTCATCTAAAAATAAAATACGTTTTCACATTTATCAAGAAACGGTACTAAACACCGACTAGACCTGGTGTCGTCCACAGACCTATACTGTTTCTGATATATGTAAATGATCTCCTAGAGGGTACAGAAACGTTCCTCTCATTGTTTGCTGATGATGCAAAAATTATAAGGAGGATTAAGACGGAGGAAGATAGTATGAGACTACAAGATGACCTAGACGAACTGAATAAATGGTCCAACAAATGGCTACTAAAGTTCAACCCGAGTAAACGTAAGGTAATAAAGCTAGGCAGTGGAAACAGGAGGCCAGACACAGGATACCGAATGGGAGATGAAATCATTCATGAAACGGACCGAGAAAAAGATCTAAAAGTTGACATCACACCAAACTTATCTCCTGAAACCCACATCAAAAGAGTAACATCTGAGGCGTTCGCAAGGCTGGCTAACATCAGAACTTCCTTCAGGAACCTTTGCAAGGAATTATTCAGAACCTTGTATACCACATATGTAAGACCAATCCTGGAGTATGCGGCCCCAGCATGGAGTCCGTACCTTGTCAAGCACAAGACGAAACTGCAAAAAGTTCAGAGGTATGCCACTAGGCTAATCCCAGATCTAAGAGGCATGAGTTACGAAGAAAGGCTGCGTGAAATGTACCTCACGACACTGGAAGACAGAGGAGTAAATGGAGACATGATCAAGACCTACAAAATTCTCAGAGGAATTGACAAGGAAGATAAACATAAACTGTTTAACACGGGTGGTACGCGAATAAGGGGACACAGATGGAAACTGAGTACCCAAATGAACCACAGGGACGTAGGAAGGAACTTTTTCAGTGTCACGAGTAGTTAACAGATGGAATACATTAGGCAATTATGTGGTGGAGGCAGTCTCCATGCACAGTTTTACATGTAGATATGACAGAGCCCAGTAGGCTCAGGAATCTGTACACCAGTTGACAGTTGAGAGGCGAGACCAAAGAGCCAGAGCGCAACCCCCACAAGCATAATTAGGTGAGTGCAACTAGGTACATTGTAACATTGTACATTGTAACCTCTTCGTTAAAAGCAATATCGAAGACACGCATACTAATACAGTACTTGGTATTGAACTTTTTGCCCGTCAACCACGGGAGGGTTACCACAAGATCTGACTGCCTTCTCAGTAAGCATACATTGGTACAAACATAGTTTAAGACAAAAATACACTGTTTATACAGTGTTGTTGTATGAAAACAATGACAGTTGTATGAAAATAAAACAACTGTCGTATTTTCATAGAAAATGAGAGGTGTCTAGAAGTAGGGGGTACCTACCCCTAGACACGAGTAACAACATAACAAGAGATCACAGAAATTGACACCACGAGAGATTATTAAAGTAAAAATAGGGATGCAGCAAAAAAATATGATAATTGTGTCTCCAGAAAAAAAATGTTTATTATGGAGAAATTTATCAAGATAAAATGTAAAATGTTAACAATAGTTATCTGTGCAGGGCGGCAAGAGGGACTGTGAGGCGGCTGGCGGGAGATGTGTTCCCGCCAAAGCCTGTGACGTCACCTCTTCTCAACATGGCTGCCGGGGGCAAGATGAAGTCTGCTGCATTAACACTCCATCACGCGGTGAGGCTTTACCATTCACTTCTGAGTTTTTACTTTAAATATTTCTGAACAGGTTGACGTTTCATGTAAGAATATCTGGCATATCATGTGTTTAAGTCGTATATTTATACCTCCCGAAGTTCCAGTACTCTGTCACACTTGCTCTTGAAGCCGTGGATGGTGGCAGTTTTACCACCACCTCTCGTTCAAGTCCATTCCATTTGTATATCACTCTTACTGAATACCAGTATTTCCTTCCATATTTCTGGCCCTACTGTTTCCAACTTCCAACAGTTTCCACTCTTTCTGTTGTCCCTCACTTAGAAAAATGACTGTCTCTGTCCACTTTGACTACTCCCCTTAACATATTGTACGTTGTGATTACAGTAGATACCAATGTCGTTTGATTTAATTTTCTTAGCTTCCCTCGTGGCCCTTTTGTTATATCTGGTACATGTTTAGTAGCTATCTGCTAAGAAAAACATATAGTTATTAAGTAAGAGGTTCCATGCTGGAGCTGCATATTCTAGAACTCGCCTACCATATGCCTAGTATTGAAACCTAAAGGATTACTTACTTGCGTTCTTGAAACCATCCTTATGTTTGTTCGTTTTGAGTATGTTAATATTTGGCTTTAAGGCTATTGTTTTGTCCAATCCCAAGTACGTCCATTTTTTTAATTCCTGTAACTAGCACCTTCGTTGACTGTACTTCTGGTCTCTTCTCCCATCTCACAAACCTCAGATCATCCCAATTGTGTTTA